AAAATTTATATTAGACCTCTTATACTACCAAAAGTTAGAGAAGTGTTTTACTAATTTTTCCTTTATTCTACTCTATTAGAAGACTATCAATTTTTAACAGAACTACTATTTTATTTTATAAAATTCCAATTTTGCCATTATACTAATTATATTGAACAAATTTGAAGTTAAAAAAACGAGTCAAAGGATGAGATAAAAATAATTTGTTGGGAAAATTTGAAATAAGTGGGATAGTGGGAAAATTATTGTACTATAGATGAAATTTCTTTGGGTGTAACTCTGACACACAAGAAATAATTACACCAAATACAAGGACTTACACCAAGCACACAAGATATTTGCATCACCATAAATTGCAAATATTCTATTATTATTCCATTGATTTGCAATTTCTCCCAATTTGTTTACCCCAAACCTGTCTTTGAGAGATTTTTTAATCAATATAATTGATTTTGACACAAAGCGCACTTTTGAAAAATAAAAATCTACGGGTAAAATAATAATTGAATTATCAACTTAATACCGTTAATATATCTATTGTTGGAAGGGATGTGAGTGTTTATTGGAAGGGATGTAAGTGTAATATTGCTAAAATTCTGGGGTTGACTGTCCTTTATCAAAATCCCAGTATAATTTACCTAATTAAAATTTAATCACTTAGTCTTGCAAACCTTAAAAAAAGGTGTGCCAGATACAAGCTGTGTCATTTTTTAAATTGATCATTACAAATATCATAACTCAATCATGTAAGAGTTATAATTAAAAAAAAGAGTTATGACCAAATATCATAAAGTATTAGAATTTTTGAATCATAACAAAATAATGTCATAACTAACTCTCTAATAGGTGCCAACATCACAATCAATCATAACTAACACTCTAATGAGTTATTCACCAAAAAAAAAAAAAAACAATCTAATGAGTTATAACTAAATATCAAAAAGATCGTTTGTAAGAATGCATATTATACACACTTCAAAGAAGCTGTACCATAGAATTTTGGAAAAATAACATGTTAGGGCTAACTTGTAAAAAAAAAAAATAATTTCATGAATAAGCTTATAAAATTATTTTTTAATGTTCTAAATTTTTTAATTAATATGCTATTATTTTTTCTATAGTCCACTTAAATGATATTTTCCATAAAATTTTCTCTATATATATTTATTAAATACTTCCACCTAGGATAAGGGGTCATTGCTTTTAGCATAGCAGTGACTGTAGTGCCTTCATTTACGATGTATTATGGTCTTATTTTTATAATTCAAACCATTCATTTTGTAGGGTTTGTTGAGTACTTCATACCTATCAAAAATCATATTAATCGGATATCAATAACTATATGATCGAATGGCATATTGTTTATGCTATTTCGCAAAAGAAAAACTTATTATTTATTTTTTTAGTCATCGATCATATAGTTTTTGATATCCGATTAATATGATTTTTGGTAAGCATAAAATACTCAACAAACCTTACAAAATGACGGTTTGGATTATAAAAATAAGGTCATAATACATCTCAAATAGAGGCACCACACTGCTATGTTTTTAGCATAGCAGGGACCCCTTTTCCTATCTCAAACCCTAATTATTATTTAAAACCCTTTTTATTTATAAAAAAAAAAAAACTGTAATTGGTCCCAAATTGTTTATGCATTTTCATTATTACAGATATTCTAAAAAATTATCTATATCTTTAATTAATTTTTTAACGATTTTGAAATTTTATCTACAAAAACTAGTTCAGATTTTTTAATTTATAGAAAAAAAAAAAGAATTCTTTTAATAAAAAATGTAGTAGTTATTAATATAATTAAAGAACACGAATATTGAAAAAAAGGCGAACTATTGAGACAAAAGGAGTAATAGCATGGTAGTCCACCTCTTACATTGTAGAATTTGCGCACATATGACAAGAAAATGACAAAAAATAATCCGAAAATTATATATATACAACAAATTTATATAAAATTTTCATATAAAATGATCTTGCTCAATTTATAACAAGACACTCATAACTATAAGTATGTTTACAAGAATGTTACTTAGGTCCATTGTGGAAATTCGGCTAAAAGCTAATTTTTGATTTTTTGGTTTTTTTTGTCATATCACTTCTCTATCTTTTTTTACATATTTAAAAAAAAAATAAAAAAAAAACCAACTTTTAACCCATTTCTCAAAATAAACTTTAATCTTGAAGTAGAGTAACTATAATTTGTGATTCAAAAATAAAATTATGTGAAAATGTTTTTTTTTGTTTTTTTGTGATGATATTACATATTTTTTTATTAAAATATTTTTGAATCACAAAATATCTAACATTAATTTTATTCTGAATTACAAATTAATGTAACTTTATTAAAAAATTATATAATATTTTCCAAAAAATATCTAATATGTAGGAAAATGCTATTATATACACCCCATTCAGGGGATGCGCCAATTATCAATGATGGATCTATGGGGTGTCGGTGGGGGCATCACACTTCCAAAAAAATTTGAAAAATATCAAATATTATATTAAAAAATTTAAAATTGTAAGAATTTGCACTCCATACATACTTTTGCACCTCTGAAGTGATAATCCTAAATTCGTCCTCGCTAGTTATGTCATTTTCTTTTTTAGTTATGACCCATGATGTCTTGAGTTATGCCTCATGTGGTATTTGATTATGAATTTTTTTTTTAATTGTAATTCAAAAAGTATGAAATTATACTATATGAAAGTTTCCATGCTTTTGAAAATTAAGTTTTTATTTTTCGTATTTTTTTTAGTGAATTTATTTAATATTTTAATTTTGTTTTTAACTTTTTAGATGCATCTAATCTAGATGTACCTAAAAAGTAAAATATTTATAAAAAAATATTTTAAAAAATTAATAAATACACAAGAATATAAAAATGTACTTATATTTTTGATATTTAGTAAATTTTTAAAATATTTTTTTCACAAATATTATACTTCTTAATTGTATTTATATTAAGTGTATCTAAAAACTATATATATATATTAAAAAAATAAAGTGAAAAAAATACAAAAAATAAAAAACTTAATTTTTAAAAAATTCAATTGAGAAAATTGGCACAAACAAGTTGAACATAGTCTTTATTTTTCTGCTAGTTAAAATATAGAAAAAAATAGTAAAATATCTCTCTAATTTTGAATAGTAAGAGAGATTCGACATTTTTTTTTTATTAGGTAAGGTCTTTTGATAAAATTTCTCTGTTATCGTTTCAAAGAAATTTCGAAAGTGTTGGAGACAAAATTTCTTTAAATCGGGTAAAATTTCTCTAAGTCGATTTTTTTCTATAAAAATGTTAAATAATCTTAATTATTATAAAAATATTATATATTCTTTATTTTATAAGTAATGTTAAAAAAAGTTGTCTTAAAATATATGTATAGAAAAAGAGAGTGCTCTCTATGTGAGTGTGTGTGGCGTGGAAAGAAAAGAATGAAAAAAAGAAAAGAAAAGAAAAGAAAGGGGGGTTCCTAGAAAATCTGTCGCAATTTCACAGCGTTTTCTTCATCTGCTTTCCCTGACTTGACTATGTACTTCCCAGCTCTTTCCTCATTCATATCATATCCAAGGAATGTTTCTATTCATTATTCTCGACCTGCAATGACTTCTCATTTCTCCGATCAAACACAGGGTTTGGATTTTTTATTTTTAATTTTTCCTGGAGCGATCCTACTGATACGCAATCAAGGACCTTCTATTCTATCTAGTAAGTTATCATCCTCTCTCACTCAAGCTGACTTGTAAACTCACTCTTTTTTTCTTTTTCTTTTTTAAAGTAATAAATTAACAGTGTTGAATTCTATTGTAATAAACTGCAAGAGAGGAAATTATTAGTAGTGGATGGTTTTGAATCAAATGTCTGGATGTATAAAAAAAGTTATGAAGATGTGGAATTATCATAAGATTTATATTCAAAATTCTAGTTATCCCTTTTATTCTAGGAGTCTTTCTCATCAATTTTTTCTCTTGTGAATGCAACAACTCGGGTGAAAGTAGTAGATAACTTTTGGAAAAATTCCTGAATTTACACATGTCTTGTGTCTGAAAGTGTTATCTAGTCTGTCTCTCAATTTTGATGGGAAATAAATATATGGAGGAGTAACTTTACTTCAATTCTTGAATTTGTGAACCACGGTAGATTGCCCTTTAAATCTGATTGTGTGAGAGAAATTGTAAACCTCAATCTTCATTTTGATGCTTGTTTTATTTAACTCAGCTTAAACTCGATTTGAGAGGTCGATAATTGCATCAGACTAACCAAGAAATCAAGCTATTAGAGCTTGTTTTTTTATGCGCTCGAGTAGAATCTTACTTGAGATCATTCATGCAATAAACTAGTAAACCTCAATCTTCATTTTATATCTCACCAATTTTTCTAATCAAGCTTGAGCAGCCATTACTTGGTTCAGCTAGTATTGTTTTCATTGAACAATTTTGAAGAGTCTAAAAAAGGATAACCCTATGATTCTAAGTATGGTTATCAGAATCCCAATCCAAATCGTGTAAAAAATCCCCTATAGGTAGGATCATTCAATCTTGGTAATGGGATCTTAGAAGATCGTGGAATCCCAATCCGAATCCGATCCAATTTGTAAGCCTTGTTTTGTGTTGTATAATATATTTTATTGTAAATTTTATGCTTGTTGTCTAAATATCAATTTTTGTGGTCCAAATGAACATATAAAAAAAAAATAGTATTGAATCAAATAAACAAACTAGGAAACAAACATTTAATATAATACCAATTTAAGAAAATTAAGTAGTCAGAAAAACAAACTTAGCTTTAGTGGGGTCTATAAGAAGGATAACATGATTGCAATTTTATCCCAATTTTTGGAGAGACAATTTTCGTGACTTGAACCCGCTCCACTAGGAATGTTAATGACAAACCTTATCATTCGGTTAAGCCACTGATTTGACTTCTCAATCTATTTTCATATCCAACTATGTTAAATATTGTTTTTTCACTTTTTATACTATGTACTTCCCAGCTCTTTCCTTATTCATATCATATCCAAGGAATGCTTCTATTCATTATTCTCGACCTGCAATGACTTCTCATTTCTCCGATCAAAGACAGGGTTTGAATTTTTTATTTTTTTATTTTTAATTTTTCCTGGAGCGATCCTACTGATACGCAATCAAGGACCTTCTATTCTATCTAGTAAGTTATCATCCTCTCTCACTCAAGCTGACTTGTAAACTCACTCTTTTTTTCTTTTTCTTTTTTAAAGTAATAAATTAACAGTGTTGAATTCTATTGTAATAAACTGCAAGAGAGGAAATTATTAGTAGTGGATGGTTTTGAATCAAATGTCTGGATGTATAAAAAAAGTTATGAAGATGTGGAATTATCATAAGATTTATATTCAAAATTCTAGTTATCCCTTTTATTCTAGGAGTCTTTCTCATCAATTTTTTCTCTTGTGAATGCAACAACTCGGGTGAAAGTAGTAGATAACTTTTGGAAAAATTCCTGAATTTACACATGTCTTGTGTCTGAAAGTGTTATCTAGTCTGTCTCTCAATTTTGATGGGAAATAAATATATGGAGGAGTAACTTTACTTCAATTCTTGAATTTGTGAACCACGGTAGATTGCCCTTTAAATCTGATTGTGTGAGAGAAATTGTAAACCTCAATCTTCATTTTGATGCTTGTTTTATTTAACTCAGCTTAAACTCGATTTGAGAGGTCGATAATTGCATCAGACTAACCAAGAAATCAAGCTATTAGAGCTTGCTTTTTTATGGGCTCGAGTAGAATCTTGCTTGAGATCATTCATGCAATAAACTAGTAAACCTCAATCTTCATTTTATATCTCACCAATTTTTCTAATCAAGCTTGAGCAGCCATTACTTGGTTCAGCTAGTATTGTTTTCATTGAACAATTTTGAAGAGTCTAAAAAAGGATAACCCTATGATTCTAAGTATGGTTATCAGAATCCCAATCCAAATCGTGTAAAAAAATCCCTTATAGGTAGGATCATTCAATCTTGGTAATGAGATCTTATAAGATCGTGGAATCCCAATCTGAATCCGATCCAATTTGTAAGCCTTGTTTTGTGTTGTATAATATATTTTATTGTAAATTTTATGCTTGTTGTCTAAATATCAATTTTTGTGGTCCAAATGAACATATAAAAAAAATAGTATTGAATCAAATAAACAAACTAGGAAACAAACATTTAATATAATACCAATTTAAGAAAACTAAGTAGTCAGAAAAACAAACTTAGCTTTAGTGAGGTCTATAAGAAGGATAACATGATTGCAATTTTATCCCAATTTTTGGAGAGACAATTTTCGTGACTTGAACCCGCTCCACTAGGAATGTTAATGACAAACCTTATCATTCGGTTAAACCACTGATTTGACTTCTCAATCTATTTTCATATCCAACTATGTTAAATATTGTTTTTTCACTTTTTATGCATTATTGTAGATTACAAAGTATTATGTTATATAATTCTTCTTCTTCACCTTCTTTTTTAATCAAATGCAAAACTTTTACTTTCAAGTTTTCTATTATATAATATTATATTTACATTTTACATGGAGAATTATATTTTTCACAATATTTTCACTTCTTTTTAGTAGAATATACTCTTGTTTTGTATATACTTTTTAAGAAATGTTTATTTAAATTAAATTATTACATAATTTGCATTCTTCAGTAGAATCATACGATCTTCGATCCGATTCTACGATCCGATCCTATAAACACTTCCAACGATCTAACGTAAGATCTCGATTTTAACAACCTTTCCCACTTCAATGCTAACGGATCGAGAATTGAATGATGGGTTGTCTCATAAACATTCTTGAGAATGGCAATAATTTTACTCACTCAGATATCTCTTGTTCTAATAGAAAGAAGATGTTGTAGAATATTGTGAGATTTCACGAACAATGTACGACAAGTAACTTGAATATGGACTTTAATTGTTCTATACTGAAATGGTGAGTAATTAAATTAGCATGGTTTTTTAAATGGAAAGTTTAAATTGTTGAACGTAAAAAAGTCTCAAACTTTGATTATTCTACCAAAGTCATTTCATTTTAAGAAGAATGATGAAAAGAAACGTTCTTGCTTTTCTATGTTTTGTATGTAACTATTGAGAGTGAAGATATTATATATAATATGAACATTCCATCGAAAAGTTTTTGTTCCATTGGAACCCATATTGTAACTAGCATTTGTTTAAATATGGGATAACATGCTTGATAAGGCATGAGTTCAAATGTTTCTTCATAGGAACATCCACGAATTTGATTGATCATTACATGTTTGATACTCAATATAGTTGGAATAATCACATTAATAGCTTCATTGACAATTATCTTCATTCCCAAATGTTATTATCCAAAGTTGAAAGAGTTCTCCACAACTAATGGAAATCATGATAGATCATGGAACCAAATGACTAAAAGTTCCTTTTGTTTTGTTTTACATTCATAATACTATTACCTAAAAGGTATGACATTTATAAGAAAGAAGTCTCTTTTCTTCTCTCTCTCTCTCAGTTTTTCTATTTTCCTAAGGCCTCATTTAGCATTAATGAAAGTAATGTTGCTGATGAAATGGTCCTTTAGGTGTTTGCCCATTTCAATTTTAGATGAGCTAAAGTTCAGTTATGCATCAAAATATCTAATTCTTGATTCATAGGAATCTAAGAGTTGGTGGCGACATTGACCACCTTAAGCAGGCATCATATAATTGTATTTTATTTTTGGGCATTGGAATTCAATTTGAACAAGTTCTTTGTGATTTGTTTGGAACAGGGTATTGCTATTGCTTTTTAAGTAAACATGCAACCTGGTGTTGAAGCAGATTCTGTTTCTATTACAATTGGTATTGATGAAAAGCTCACTCAAATCTCACCTTCACCATCGGAGTGTTGTATATTTAGAGTACATAAACAACTACGTGGGGTAAATGAGAAGGCCTATGAACCAGAGACTGTTGCAATAGGTCCTTACCACCGTGGTAAACATAGCCTACAGATGATGGAGGAGCATAAGTTGCGCTATTTGAAATTACTTCTTAAAAGAAAAAATGAGAGTAGTGCAGATAAATACGTCACTGCTATTGCATCGCTAGAACAAGAAGCACGTAGATGTTATGCTGAACCAATAAGCCTTAGTCCTGATGAAATGATTGAAATGTTGATATTGGATGGTTGCTTTATCATTGAATTGGTGTGGAACTTTGAGATTGCATGCCTTAGAGATAAAAATGATCCTATTTTTAAAATGGACCAGATCGATAATAGCTTGCAACGCGATTTAATGTTATTTGAAAACCAACTGCCCTTCTTTATACTCTATGAGTTATTTGACTTGATCGAGATTCCAAACAACCATAACAAGCTCATTCGTCTTGCCTTGTGTTTTTTCAGTGATCTTTTACCAGATCGAGGTCATTCAGACCTTGTTCTTGGTAATTCACACAACAGCCATTTGCTCGGGTTGATACACAATAACTAGCTCCATTCAGAGTCTAACGGCCTTGCCTCAAATAAAAAAGGGCAAGAATGATTCTATTTTTCAAATGGATTGGATTGTTAGTAGCTTGCAGCGCGATTTAATGCTATTTGAAAACCAGTTACCATTTTTTATACTCCGCAAGTTATTTGACATGATCGAGGTTCCAAACCAACATAACAGGCTCATTTATCTTGCCTTGTGTTTTTTTCGTGATCTTTTACCTGGCCCCGGTTATAGAGAACGTATTGATGGAAACTCACACTTCAATATCAGGCATTTACTTGGGTTGATTCACAATAATTGGCTTCCTTCATTTGCAGGGATTGTTCCCAACGGAGATGGCTCAAATAAAAAAGGAAATTGGCGTTTCATTCCTAATACCATAGAGCTTCAAGAAGCTGGAGTCAAACTAGTGAAGATTGAAGGAGCTAGCTTATTTGATATCAAATTCGAATATGGGGTAATGAAGATTCCACCTTTAACCATTGAAGACAGGACTGAGTCATTCTTCAGAAACCTCACTGCGTACGAGCAATATTGTCCAGATAATCAACTCACTTATATTACTGATTATGTGGGATTCATGGATTGCCTCATCGACTCTCCAAAAGATGTTGAAATACTATCTCGCCGTGGAATCATTGATAATTGGTTAGGCGACGATGAAGTGGTTTCCACGATATTTAACAAGTTCAGTGACGCAGTAACAGGGCCTACCAGCCATTTCCAGTATGCTGATATTGTCAACCGGGTGAACATACATTGCGGCAAACGTAGGAATCGGTGGATGGCGATGTTGAACCGGAACTATTTAAATAGCCCATGGGCATTTATTTCGATTCTGGCTGCTTTGGTACTACTACTACTCACTTCTACACAAACTGTGTTTACTGTTTTTCCTCGCAAATAATTATTGTGTATCTTTCTTTCTCAAATCTGCTTTAGCTTTTTTGCTGTCTTCTGTCTTTATTTTTTTTCCCTCTTGTATTACTTTTCTCTGTAAAAACATGTAAAAGGAAAAAAATAAAAATTATGAAGGGTGAGGTGAAGATGGAGATGGTTACAAATTCATTTATGCATTTGCATTGCATGTTTTACTTGTTATAGGTAAGAAAATGACATGGCTTATGGAATGTGGACTGCAAGAAGAAGAAACAAAGTTAATGCTTTGAAAACACCTCCATATTTTTGTAACAGTATATCATTATTAGGTTCAACTTTTGTCTGTTTTAAAGGCTTATTTTGATGGAGGATGTTCCACCCTCCTTGGTTTCTTTGGTTGTATGGCTGATGCCAATTTGCTTTTATAATTACTATTTTACCCATCTAAAAAAAAGGGGAGCTTATTTTGATAAATAAATGAACAGGAAAAGGCACGATAAGCATTTTTGCATGCCCAAATTAAATTAAATAAATAGAGAGGCATAGACACTTTATGGCTGACACCCCTTTTTTAAAAGCAAAATGACACTACATGATTTTTAGATTCTGATGTACTCATGTCTGGGTGCAAACTTAATAGTGTTCACTCATTTTCAATATAACATTGTGACGATGCAACTACATGTAATAATTAATATTTGATTAATTAAGGAGGTTTGAATTTGAATTGTTTATTGTTCTGATTTAATTTGAGATTTATGAAAATTATTGAGTCTGATTCGTAAATGTTATTAAAGATTTATTTTGGAATTAGAAATTGAACGTCCAAATGGCTTAAGGATGTGAAATTGATGAGTTGAATCAATTTAATTTCAAGAATTGGACCACATGAGAGTTTAATTAAATATTCAATTCGGTTTCAATTCAGTTTAATTGGGTCCAAATTGGAATTAATTAAGCTGATGTGATTATTGTAATTATTATGAATTAAATTTACCTATGAGTTGTTCAATTTGAATATGTAAATTATTGATAAAGATTTTGAGTTTGATTTGAAATTGAAGGCCTTCAAGATTTGGGAAATTAAAATTAATGATGGTAATAAGTTTAATTTCATATTTGGAGCCTCTTGAAAGTGGGATTAAAAATTTGATTCAGATTGATAAATTTAAATATAATTGATTGGGTTCTAATGAAATTCAAATTAGACTAATCAAATTATGTACGATCTGTGATTGGTTATAATTAATTTAATTATGTGCTAATCAAGAGATTAAGTAAGATTAAATGATATTTGATTAAATTAAAATGTAATTAATATAAGTTATTCATAATCAAATTATAATACAAGTGGAGTGTTGGAATCCTCTAGAACGTTGGAGGCAACAAGTACATATGTGTATTTATGTGTGCTGGAGAAGAATTAAAAGAAGAAAAGGAATCTGAAGGAAAGAGAGGACCGAGAGAGAGAGAGAGAGAGAGAGCTGGCTGCTGGACAACGAAAAAACGGGAAGAAAAAATTGAAGAACTCAAGATAGAATAACAAAGGAAGGAAAGGAAACTTAAGAATTTCAACCAATTAAAACTTAAGGTATGGAATTTTTGTTTAATTTGTGTAGAATTTTCACATTATACTTGAAATTAAAGATGGATTTGAAATCAACATCATGTAATTGAAAGAAATTAATGGTGTGTTTGGTTGGAGGATTTGGGGAGGGATTTGAAAAGAGAAAGGGAAAAGGTGTGTGAAACTATGTGAAATTTAGGCATGTTTTATTCATATTTCACCTACCTTTTCCATTTCCCTTTCCAAATCCCTCCTCAAATCCCTTAACCAAACACAACATAAGACTAAATTGAAGGGTATGAACTAGATTAATAAACATGAAAAATAATTTTAAGATTTCATTAAATTGAGTTTGATTTTGAAAATCTTGATGTAATTGGGTTTTAATATTTACATACATAATGAATTTTGAAAATTTTGAGTTAATCAATTTCATATTTTGAAGATAAAAATGAAAAATTTTATAAACATTAAAGTTCATGGGGATCTAGAATTAATTTTGAAGTTAAATAGGGTTTTTGATTTGTTTTGAAAACTAAGAAATGGTTGGATGTTAATCCTTAAACCATTCATGTAATGTAATTTAAGAATTTTAATTCATATTTTAAAGTTTATGAGTTTGGGATTAAGTTTTGATATAAATCAAGAAGTCAAATTTTAGCTTGATAATGAAGAATTGGTTGGACTTTGATACATGCAAATAACTTTTTAAGGAGTTTACAACTTTAATTTCATATTTTGGGAAATCTATCTATATATTATATAAGGAAAAGGGGATTTTTAACCCACAAGTTTTGTGGGAGTTTTAATATCTCAATCTTAATTTTTTAATTTTTTGATTTAAAAAAAAAAAAACCCTCAGCATTTATTGACTTATCTTAACCCACAAGCATTTTTGACTTCCCCATATCTACTACTACACCATTTTCAACGTCTTTCATACAATATGGTTAGTAATGTGATTGTTAAATTATTTTTATAAAAAATCTAAAAAAATAATTGTATATTAAAAAAATATTTAAAATAAATATAAATTCATATTAAATCTATATATCTATATATTATATAAGTAAAAAAGGATTTCTAACTACAAATTTTGTGGGAGTTTCAATATCTCAAACTAAAATTTCTAATTTTTTGATTTTAAATAATTTAAAAAATCCTTTATAGCTCTCATTCAAGCAAAATAAATAAATAAATAATCAATATCTCTGGATTTATGACTTTCAAATGGAAAAGTATATCAAATATATAAAATAGAAAATATAAAGTATACTAATTTATTTCAAAATTCAAATTTGAGGGGCACTAAATATGAAAAACATTTCATTAATTTAAATTTACAATTATAATGATTTATCCCGTAATATATAAGTTTTAAATAATGATCTATTTCATGATTTATCTATATATCTATATACTATTATAATTGTAAAATATTGTCATTTCAGTAAGGTTGAAAGCTATAATTCTTTTTTCTCATTTTTTTTTAAATTTTGTTTAATTTTTTGTTAATACGTGTTATAATATAATTGGTTTATAAATTAATTTTATATTCTTAAAATAAAATTTCAAATTTGGATTCTTACTTAAATTATGTTACTATAATTGGAATGAGATCAATATTCATTCCTTAAATTTTGCATCCTTTATTAAATCATAAAATAAAATTTCAAATTTCAAATTTAAATTCTTCTTAAATTATATTATTATAATTACAATGAGATCAATATTCACATGTGTCATAATAATGTACCATAATATTATTGGTCTAAAGATATTTTATTTTAAATACATGTGTTCAAATTATTAATCGGTATTAATTTTTTTTCTTTTTTTTTGTTTTAAATTTTATAAAAATAATTATATCTTTCTAAACTATAAGGACTTGAACAATAATATTTTTTAATATAATTTTTTTTCTTGACAAAAGAACAAAATATAACTTTTTTTTAGTACTTATCAGACATAGTGGATTTTGTTAGATTTTTATAAGGAAAAGGAGATTTTTAACCCACAAGTCTTGTGAGAGTTTCAATATCTAAATCTAAATTCTCTAATTTTTTTATTTAAAAAAAAAAAAAACCTCAGCATTTATTGACTTATCTTAACCCACAAGCATTTTTGACTTCCCCATATCTACTACTACACCATTTTCAACTTCTTTCATACAATATGGTTAGTAATGTGATTGTTAAATTATTTTTATAAAAAATCTAAAAAATTAATTTGTATATTAAAAAAATATCTAAAATAAATATAAATTCATATTAAATCTATATATCTATATATTATATAAGTAAAAAAGGATTTCTAACTACAAATTTTGTGGGAGTTTCAATATCTCAAACTAAAATTTCTAATTTTTTTGATTTTAAATAATTAAAAAAAATCCTTTATAGCTCTCATTCAAGCAAAATAAATAAATAATCAATATCTCTAGATTTATGACTTTCAAATGGAAAATATATCAAATATATAAAATAGAAAGTATACTAATTTATTTCAAAATTCAAATTTGAGGGGCACTAAATATGAAAAACATTCCATTAATTTAAATTTACAATTATAATGATTTATCCCATAATATATAAGTTTTAAATAATGATCTCTTTGATGATTTATCTATATATCTATATACTATTATAATTGTAAAATATTGTCATTTCATTAAGGTTGAAAGTTGTAATTCTTTTTTCTCATTTTTTTTTTAAATTTTGTTTAATTTTTTGTTACTACGTGTTACAATATGATTGGTTTATAAATTAATTTTATATTCTTAAAATAAAATTTCAAATTTAGATTCTTACTTAAATTATGTTACTATAATTGGAATGAAATCAATATTCATTCCTTAAATTTTGCATCCTTTATTAAATCATAAAATAAAATTTCAAATTTAAATTATTCTTCAAATTATATTATTATAATTAGAATGAGATCAACATTCACATGTGTCATAATAATGTACCATAATATTATTGGTCTAAAGATATTTTATTTTAAATACATGTGTTCAAATTATTAATCGGTATTAATTTTTTTTCTTTTTTTTTGTTTTAAATTTTATAAAAATAATTATATCTTTCTAAACTATAAGGATTTGAATAATAATATTTTTTAATATAATTTTTTTTCTTGACAAAAGAACAAAATATAACTTTTTTTTAGTACTTATCAGACATAGTGGATTTTGTTAGATTTTTTTTTAATAATTTTTTATTTTTTTATTTTTTTATTATCTCAACTGTCAATTAAGGAAATTAAAATAAAGAATAAAGATATCTTTGGCTCAAATTGTTAAAAAGTTATTTTTGTTAAAATAAATTAGAAAAAAAATGTTAATTATTTTTTATTAAAAGTGATAGTTCGTTAAAAAAAATTATTTAAAAAAAGATAGGGTTATAGGTGATAATTTATTGTTAATCTAGAATTATTTTCATATTAAATGAAAATACCATATTAAATTTTCTTCTTATCTTTTTTTATTCAAATACTTTTATTTTGTAAGAAATTTTATTTTATATTTTCCTTTGTAATATTTTATTGTAATTTTTAAAGTAAAAAGAATTTCTAAAAAATTATATTTAAATTGTTTATGCCATTATAAAAAGTAAAATTTTTTTAATATCAACTTAGTGGTAATTTGGGAAGTGCTAAATAAGCATACTTTTTTACTTTTTATGAAAATATGTACAGAAAAGTAGAGATGTGATGTGTCTCAAAAAAGATAATTAAGTATATTTTTTTACTTTTTACGAAAAGATGTGTAGAAAAATAGACATGTGATGTGACCTAAAAAAGATTAAAAATATTTAAAAAAAAAGGAGCTAATATCACACTTTCCAAACAACCCTTTATTCGATGATCCCTTTTTAAAAGGTGTATTTTAAAAATATTTTCAAGAAAAATTCTATTAGAAATCTTAAGTATATTACTTTTTCTTTTTTTCATCAATATTATATTTTTAATTAATTTTATTTATTATTTTAAAAAATAATTTAGAAAATAATTTATATATTTATATATATATAATTTTGTTTTGGTTGCTCATGTTATTTGTTGTTTTTGCCCAAGTCCACTCAAATTTAATTAGAAATTTTAAATTTCTACATAGATCCTCACTTAATTAAAAATCATGTTGTTCAATCTTTAAAAAAATTTAAACTTGACACAAGTTGCTTGGATTGAGTTCACCTAAGTTTACAATTTTGAAAGTTATATGATTAAATTTTGTGCCAAATTAAAAACAATAAATGAAATTTTGATAAAATTATGGGGCTTAAATTGTAAATTTCAATCTTCTTTGTTTTCATAATTTGCATATAAAAATTAACAATTTATATTATTCTGTATAAAAATATATTATTAATTTTTTTACATGCCGTGCATAGTATGGGTTACCACTAGTTATTAGTTTATGAGCAATGAGCTTAATTTTTCAATTAAAGGAGTTTTGATATAAATAGTTAAAATTGATCATGTTTTCTTAATTATTTAAGAGTTTGCATATTTTTAGATAAGCCACGTATGAACCCAAGTTTTGGAATCATATTTTGAAAGTTTAATTCATGTTCAAGAATTTATGAGTTTGAATTGGGTTTGACATGAAACTATAATCTTTGATTGGGGTTGGGAATATGGAGAACAAGGTGTTATAAAGGGTTTTGGGCCTTGGAATACAGGCAATTGAACTTAAATTTTGGAAAACTTGAGTTCCAAATGTAGAGCAGATTTTCGGATTGAAACTCAACCCAAACCGCATGTGCGGTGGAAGGTCCCGCATGTGCGACCAAACCCTTCCCTGTTTCAGTTTGCTTCTACTTTAATTGCACGTGCGGTGGAGGTTCCGCACTGCACATGCGGTGTTTAGAGCAGTTTTCGGTTTTGTTTTCTTTTTGTTTATTTACCTTCCGGGCCTCCGTTTGCATGATTTTCACATGTATTTCACATGCGTATGCATTTCATGAATACAAAGGGCATTAGAGAACGAATCAAACTAACCAAATGAACAAGCAGTGAATGAACCGAATAGGGTTAAAGACTAACTGATTGAATTGCATGTGTAATAAGAGAATGTGCTTGAATGTGTTTTTGTAGGTCAGATGTCTCACCCTAGCCAAGGAATTCAGGGAGCCAACTGTGAGTAACAACTCTGTAAAGTTATGTTTAACTTTAAGTATTTTTTGAACGATATGATATGATCTGTTTTTTAAAATGCTATTTTGTAATTAAATGAATGATTGTCCTATTTGTGAAATATATTCGTGGTATCTATAGCATCTGTTGCTGCTACTGTTTACTGTTACTGTTACTGTTACTGTTACTGTTACTGTTACTGTTACAGAGATTTCTGTTAGTTCCACTTTGTGGAACTTTTGTTTACTGTATTGATGGCCATCATATATGACTATTCCGGTTTTCTAAGATCTACTGTACTGTTCTGCTGATGGATGTATCACATATGACTGTTACGATTTCAATATGATTTGACATGTTATGAGATATTGATTTGAGAAATTGATTCACTGATGAAATTGATTGTTTTAAATTACTGAAAGGACATCATTTATCACCCCTTTACACTGTTGTTATTCACTGAGCTCTAGCTCACTGTATATGTATATTTATGTAGGTGATCAAGTGCGTGATCAAGGTTAGAGGTGTTTGCCTGGAATATGTTTTTGTCAACCAACCTATGCGCCTCTTATGGAGGTTCCAAATATGTCAAGTGGTCAAGGCTAAGTGATTAAAGTTTAAATTTTTGTTTATTCTGGGGTAAATCCCTTTTGTCTCATCAGTATATATGATGATGCAGGAATGATGTGATAATATATGTATATAAAAAGTTTAAATTTTTTCTGTCTCATATAAGTCTGCACAGCTCAATGGACAATACATGTTTGTATTTTGCTTCCGCTAGCCCCTAATATTATGCATCTGTTTAAGAGACTTTCGGTAATCTCATGATTACTGGTCGGTCATGATATTAAATCTATAGAGACGGGTTTGAGTCGTGACAAATATGATAATTAATTTTTAGATACTAATATACTTATTTCTATTTGTGAAAAATTTGTAGCGTGCACTCTCTTTGGATATGACATGAAATATTTTAACTTCCAATGTGATGTATTTAAAGTCATAGTCTGATCATATTATGCTATGATTTCAATAATTGAATGAATTATAAATCAAAATAACGATACAATGTTACGTCATAATAAAATTATTATGTTGCGTCATAATTAAAGGGATTGCACATGATGTATATGAATGTGTATAAAAAATAAGATTATGTTGTTTTGCACTAATGGTTCCCAATATGTTTTTTACTTAAAAAAAAATTGTAGATTTTTTATACACTTTTCTTCCTTTTAAAAGTAAAAATATATCTTAAGAAAAATCTCTGTCAATAAATATAATCCCTAAAATGTAACGTTTTGATGTTGAAAAGTAAAAAGAAAAATAAAAATAAAAAAGGCTCACAAATGGATCAAGAGAAGAGGAGGAAAATGATAAAGGTGAAAAGAAGAAAATCTATTTGGTTTGTGGTGCGGGTAGCCCTATTGTCAAAGTCACTTAGCCTTTCGCCAAAGAAACAAACAAACAAACAAAAAGGCAAAAAGTAAAAGCACAAAAAAGAAAAAGAAAAGAGAGGTTCTTTTTAAGGTCCATTGATGTGTTTGATTTGAAAGACATTTTTGCTTCGAATACATAAGTAGTGTGCACATGTTTACGCAATGTTTAGCATGAAGGATAAGTGTGTCTTGGAACCAGATTGGATGATTGTTTGGTTAGAGAGAAAAGAGGATAGAAAGGAATGGAAGAGGGTATAAAATTGGTTTACACTTGTACCATTACAAATTCATACATTTAGGGTTACTTTGAGAAATATCGCCTTTCAGTGTTTTTTTTTTAAAATTTTTTTTATTAAAATATAAAGTGAAAAAAGTTAAAGTGTTTAATACTCTTATGATCATACTTGATTTGTAATGTTCAACCAAAAATAAAAAATATGCAATTTATGGATTTAGCTTAGTGGAAGGAGAAAACAACAAAAAAGTTTATCATTCAAGAATCAAATCTCACAAACGTCAATCTACATCCCAAACCTTAGGGCCACGACAGGTTTGCCCGCTTATTAATTTCAAGGCTCCGTTAAAATACAAATTACTCTTATAATTTGAAAAATTACAAACATTTCCTTGTAAAAAATTTTATTTAATAGAATTAAATAAAAAAAAATCATAACTACTCTTTTATACAATAATAAAATTATCTGAATTATTAATTAAAATTTTTTCTAATATCATTAAAAATTATTAATTGACTTGATGATTTATTAAGCTCTATTAAAAATGTTTCTCTTCCTCATGTAAGTTTGGATAAAATTAGAGTAAATTACAAATACATTTTCTGAGATTTACTTAAAATATAAATTGTCTCTTGTGATTTGAAAAATTATAAATACCCCATTATCAGAATTTTTTATTTAACAAAATTAATTAAAAAATAAAATTTATAACTGCTCTCCTATACAATAATAAAATTACCTGAATTATTAATTGAAAATATTTATAACATCATCAAAAATTATTAATTGACTTGATAATTTATTAATAAAATGAGCGATTTGTTATGAAATTAAAAATATCAAGGGATGTAATGTAATTTCAAAACCACATAAACGATTCATATTTTAAGCAAATCTTTTAATTACCCATAAAATTATTGACCATGAAAATGTGATAACAAATTTATATTTGGCCTTCTTGTTTTTTTAATTAAAACTGAGTAAGCCCTATTGTACTTGATTAAAATTAAATTTATAACCCAAGACTTTGTTGGAACAATCTTTTGTGTAAAATAAATAACATGAAACCAAATCAAACAAATAAAAAATAAATTACTTACAGAATTTATTTACCAAAATAAATAAATACAAAATTGATCAAGTCAAATGTGTGACACTTTGTCCTTAAGATAGATTCGTCCCGCTCCGGTGCTTACGGATAAATAGCGTCTATTTCCCAAGATATAATGATCTACACAGATTGTAATAGCACTCTAAACAATCTGTATGGCGAACTAGAACCTGTGTTCTATACTCTCATAATTTTCTCTAAAAAACTAGTATTAAGAATATATGTATGCAAGAGAGCAAAATGGAAGAAAATAAGAAAATTTCGGATGCCCAAACTGCTGGAAAAGTTGTACTGCTTATAGCCTAAATGGCGACCTTTAGGAAAGGGCCAAACAGGTACAAATTGAAGTGAACAGGTGCAAAATTCAAACTGAGCATGTGTAGTGTCTGGGAAGAAATAAAACTGTCTGGTGCAAATCTGTTTAAATAGGTTGAAAGAACTGTTTAGACCTGCTGGAAAATGGACTCAGAAGGGGCACTGTTTGGGTAGGAAAATCAAATTCAAATTTGGCGCAAAATTTGAATTAATTTCGTTCAGAAAAAATAATTTTCCCGCAAGAATTTTTGGAAAAAAAATTAATAGTAGAACCGATCCGACTCACAATCGCGCCCAACCGATGGTGACGTGCGCGTGCGTGTGGTGGTTTGCGCCAAAGCCCACTTTGTCTATAACACCTTCCTTCTACAAACTTAGGGTGCCCCTAGGGCCTAGGGATGGCAATTTGAAACCGGCCCGATGGGGATCCCTGATCCCGACCCTGATTTAAGCGGTTTTTCCTCGAAAAATACCCCCGATGGGGAGAAGACGTTATCTGAAAATCAATTCCCGATCTGTTTCGGGCTGGGGACAGTAATCAGTGTTTAAGCCCCGGCCCGGCCCAATCCCCGGCCCTGTCCCCGTCCCCGGTCCCGTCCCCGAATTTCCCCGAAGTATAATTACTTTTATACCCCTTATATATATATATAAAAAAAAATAAACCAAACCGTGTATTACACATTTCAACTCTCTCACTCTTTCGTTTCAACTCTCTCTCTCTCTCATTGTTCTCTCTGGCCTCGACCCCCCCTCTCTCTCATCGACGGCGACATCACCACCGTCGCTGGTCTCGAACCCTCCTTTCTCTCACTTTCTCTCTACCCTCTACTCTCTCTCCGTCTCCGTAGCACAACCGCCACTGTCTGCGAAGCCGGCGTCGCTGTCCACCGTCATCGACTCCGCCGTCCCTTCTACCTCCGTCGCTGCCCTCTCTCTTCCTGTCCGTCGAGTCACCGTCGTCGCCGTTACACAGAGATCTCAGATCTGTGATTATACTATAGATCTGATTTCATTTATAATTTCTATAGATATGTATACATGTAAATTTCATTTATAATTTCTATCTATTGTAGAAAATAAGAAAATACTATAGATCTGTATGTGTTTTGTGTATCTGTGTGTGTTTTGTGTTTTGAATGTTGAAACAGATTTGGATCGGGGGAGTTTCGGGGTCGGGAAAACCCGGTCCCCGTTGGGGCCGGGGATGGGAACAGTCATAGGCTCCCCGTCGCGGATCGGGGCTGGGGCCGGGGACATTTTCGCCATCGAGGATCGGGGACGGGGAGGGTGATCCCCGGCCCGGCCCCGCCCCGCCCCGTTGCCATTCCTATACATGTATCACAATTTCTACTCATAAAACCGTTTGGTAACACTTACGTTTTCAGTTTTTTGTTTATATTTACAAAAATTTTAAAAACTCAAATAAAAACTTGTTTGGTAAAATTTTTAATTTATAAATCAGTGGTCTCAGTTTATAAATTGGCCAAAAAATGAAAATACAAAAAATATGTTTCCGTTTTGAGTTTTGAGTTTTTTTTTTTTCCACCCAACACTAGCCACCACCCGCCACCATTTTCCACCACCGTCTTTCGCCACCATCACCCACCACCACTTACCACCCACCACCACTACCCACCTGCCACCACCCATCACCACCAGCTACCCACCACCTACCATCACCACTTTTCACCACTGTCTTCCACCGCCACTTGCCACCACTTGCCATTTCTTACTCTTTTTTATATTTTTAAAATTCTTTAAACATTTTGTCAATTACCAAACGTGTTTGTATTTTATGTTTTTCTAAAAATAAATAAAAAACAAACAAAAATCAGTTTATAAGTTTTTTGTAAATATAAACTGAAAACGTAAACGTTACCAAACACACCCTTAACCATTAGACTGTTAGCTTGTCACCTAAAACCCACCAAGAAAATTGAAAAAAAAAATATTAATAATAAAGGTCCTCATCAAAGGCCAATATGCTAAAACTTCCTTTTAATATTTAATGTCAAATCTCAATAAATATTGGGGCGCTATTGGTGGCTTACCAAAAAGGGAAGTATGGAGGTCATTTTGTCTCCCACCTAAGTGATCAAGATGGGCCATGTTGATTCCACCCATCTCATGATTACTAGTTTGGGAGCATCGTGTTAGCATGTTTAGTTGATGCTCAAAACTACTGAATAATTAACAATCTTATGGTTGTGCAGTATCTTGTTAGGGCTTGCGAAGCAAGAGTCACAAACATGGAAGAAACAAAAAAGCTACTTAAGCCCACCTTAATGGTGAAGGTTGAGACTGAGATGTAGAGCTGGTCAATCACAAGGGAATGGAGATCCACTTGGTGTGAACAGTTTTCAATTCTTTGCAGGAGGGGTTGAAGGAAAGACGTCACGAGTACTTGAGCACTGTTCGGGTAACTCAGGTTATATCAATTGCTATAATTGTAGGATTGCTTTGGTGGCATTCTGATGCATCAACTCCAAAGAGACTCCAAGATCAAGCAAGACATACTTTGACAGAAAATGCTAATATTAAACAAATTACGTTTTAGTTTGCACATTTGAAGGAAAATAGGATATACACTTTTGTTTCAAATGTTGAATTTAGCAATCCAATGTGATTTCGATTTTTTTTTTCCACTTTTGATTTCCTCAAAAGGTTTAACAACTTCAAGATTTTGGACTTCACTATGATCATATTCCTATAAAATGTGACAACACAAGTGCCATTAACCTTTCAAAAAATCCTATTCAGCACTCACGCACTAAACACATTGAAATAAGGCATCATTTTCTGAGAGATCATGTACTCAAAGGTGACATTGAACTCGAATTTGTGCCTACAAATTGTCAATTAGCTGACATATTTACCAAGCCTCTAAATGAAGAACAATTTTGTTATATTAGAACAGAACTTGGTATGATGAATACTCCAATATAATGTTTATATTAAAAAATAATTTTTTAATAATTAAATAAAATAAATATTATTATTATTATTATTATTATAAAAAAAAATTTCGATGATTGATTGTGGGTTTGATCAGTGTGTTTTGATCGTTCGACTTATAGTTCTAGCTATGTGAGCTAGTTTCTAATCCCTCTCTCTCTCATGTGTTTGTGGTTTTTCAAATCTGTTTGTGTGTTTGTGTTTGAGTGAGATTTAATTTAATTTTGTGATATAGTGTTAATCAAGTGGGTAAATTACAGAGAAATTGGTGGAAAGTGAGAAATGATGTTTTTATAATATTGAATCTTTATTTTTTAAACCCCTTTTTCACTCTGTAGAGAAGAGGAAAATGAAAATGAAAAAATGATTCTACATACAGTTTTTATTTTTATTTTATTTTTTAAAATTTTATTTTAAATAGTGCTTCCATAAATTTTTCTACAAAACTTCGAGATTACTTCTATTTATTTATTTTTTTGGAATTTAATTTGAAATTTAAAAAATGAAAAATGTTCACTGTTTTCTTTAAACCCTGAACCCATATTTTCTATTATATTCTCTCTTTCTCTATGTTGGTTCACAAAATTTGAGAACTCAACTCCTTGAGCTGAAAAGTTGTAGGATCTTATGAATTTTATTTGGCTCAGGTGTAGGATAATACAAACCCAGTCAGGGCTTAGTTCTTTGCTTTCACTAATACTTCTCTTTTAAAACCTTCTAAAATTATCCAAAACAATATAATGATTGGGTTCTATAAAAAAATTGATTTAACGCAAGACATATCCCATTTGATGAAGTTCATGACAGAAACTACTGGTGTGGTCTTAGAAACTCGGACACTGTTTCAAGAAGGTGGCAAGTCTATGTCGAACATGCATCCACCATGTCTTTATTAATTTTTTTTAAAAATATTTTCAGAAACCTAACATACTTGCTTAGACAAACACGAAACATGTAACTTGTAAGTTTGAAGAAAATAACTTTGAAATCTAACAATAAAATAAAAATAACGTAGATATATATCTATTAACATTATCTGATCCATTAGACTTTTTAATTTTAAGAGCCCTAAAGCCCAAGTCTTATGATTTGTTTATAAATGCAGTTTTTAAAATAGATATTATGATTTTAGTTCACACTTCTATTCTAAAACGTAGGGTGTGGTAAATGATTTCTTAGTATTGTCATATAATAATATATAAATGTATTGGCAATGCAGAAAATGAGAAACAGGTAATATTTTATTGTATAAATATAAAAATATATACGTATTTGTTTTTGTGTCCTTTCTATGTCATGTCAATATAAAAAATATATATTGTTGTGTCGACATGTCCATTTTGTGCCATATTCGTGTCTTGTGTTTGTATCCAGTACTTCTTAGGGTGTAGTGGCACATAAGGATCATGCAAAATGAACATGGGGATGTCATAATTTGTTTTTTGTTGTATGGTTCTTCAGTTTTCTGCTTTGTGATCTATGTTTTCTTCTAATTTGATATTTCTAAAATTCACTCAAGAATTTTATTTTATTTTATTTTATTTTATTTTATTTTATTTTTTCTGAAACATGTTTGTTTTGTAATGAAAACCAGGAAAATTGTTTTTAAAATTCTAATACAATTTTTTCCTCAATTACATGAATGCATTTTTAAATATGTAGATTGTTTGCTAAATATATTTTTTTTTCTTTTCATCACAGCATTGAGATGGGCATTTGACAAAAAAAATTGAAAAAGTAGGATGGCATACTTTTTAAAAACCAATTTCCATCCTTATTATGAAACTGCTCCAACTGACTGTAATAAACAGCTAAAGTTATTTTATAAACATGCAGGGACTGAGGTAACATCTGAAGGGTGAATTGAGACTTGGAGGAAAAAATGGTGCTTGATTTAGATCTCAATAATCTGCCTTCACCTCTTGACAATGTGCCGCCTATTGATCTCAGTCTTTCCTTAGCGCTGCCTTGGGACACTAGACTGTCACAAATACAAACGACAACCGAGCTTGAGTCTGATGATGATGAAGTTGTCATATGCTCCCCAAGAAGCTTTGCTGAGGTATGGAATCTTACATTATTATTAAGATTTTGTTAATGTGTGCCGTTGGGGTACACGTTAAGAGTCTTAAAAAGATTGTACATTCTGCATGAAAGTGAGTGCAATAAAGAATGCACAATCTCTGTGACCCTTATTATTATGCTAGTTGCTTTTCTTATCAGTTTACCTGGTCTTTAAGTTTATTGGTTTGCCTTTTTAACCTCATCTTAGGCTAAGGCTAGAAGGAACCGTGGGGTGATAGCGGTGATTGATGCTGAAAGTGATTTTCAAAGAGGTTGTTCAGGTTCTTGGCAATTATGTTTCCGTCTCTTTTTATGGTTATGGAATTTTGAAGCTTAAAATTACAAAGAATATTGTTATTTAGGCGATGGTGATTTGTAATTCTTGCGCAAAGCCTTTATTTTGCAGCAAGAGTCTTGTATATTTCTAAATTTTGCAAGAAATCTTATGTAAAATCTTGGACCAACATATTACCAACTGACTAATTTGCCTTTAATGTTAACTCTTTAATGACTTGTGCTTTAATTAATTTGTCAAACTGACTGTATAAGTACTATCTATGGTACATTAATTTTTAAAGGGTTGTTTACTCTGTTATCAGATCTTTACGATTCACGATTCGATTCGATTCGCGATTCGGTACGAGATCATTTCGATTCACGATACGAATCTCGATTTGACAACTATGTTACACCAATACCTCCTCAACTATTAGTGGATATTATCTATGAACTAGTACATTTTGACCCCCTTCAACTATAAGAATGTATCAATTTCACTTTCACCCCCTCCAAACTTTCTCCATAAGGGGGCAGTTGTAAGGTTTTTATAGTTGAGGGGGGTCAATATGTACGGGCTCATAGATGAGAGGAGTAAAATGATATTTACTAATCATTGAAAGAGTCTTGGTGTAATTAACTCAATTATTAGGATAATACTTAAGGTTTGTGTTGGTTGAATGAGGTTTCCAAGTACATTCTTGTCACCCTAGAGAGCCCAAGTTAAATTCCAAATTTTATACCCTGGGAGTATGATGCTTTAGGAGGTCCTTCTTTCTCACTCCTTTTATGCAAAGGCAGGCTATTAGGCTTGTTTTATTTACTTTCTTTGCTGAAGGAATATTAATATCTTGTGTACCTTGTTTCTTAAAACCTCTGGGGGATACTTACTTATGCCAGCCCTTAAATTGGCATTACAGAATCGAGATCGTTTCTTGGAAGCAACAACCGTCGCAGAAGAGGTTCACCAAAACATACAAGTGTCGATAGTGACTGCTGCGTAAACTTGGAAAACAATGAAAAAACCAAGGTGTTATGGCTACCTTCTGGTTATGCTATTGTTTTTTTCCTGATTAAGTAGTATTTTTTGAAAGTACGTTGCTTTGGTTGTTGTCTCATTTTCTTCCTAATTTAAATATAATGGAGTTAAGATGGTATCATATTATTTTACACCATGCTAAGAAATTAATAGTAACTTGTCTTGCACGTTTCATCAATATTCAACGTGTAAAAGGTCTTGGAAATTACATCTAATGGCTACTAATAAATCTTGTTAGATATTTGCTGCCTACTTAACTTACCATAAAGTCTACGAGTGTTGTAGTAACTGGGTTTACCTTAGATATTAAAACTGTCAGCGTCTGATTTTTTCTGCTTGTGAATTTTAAATCTATTATCTTCCATACCTGCCCACCACTGTGCATCTCAAAAGAGTTTCGTATCTTTTCTAGATCTTCAAATGGTCATGAATGAAATGGTAATGCAGAATCATAAATGAAATTGGAATAAGCAATGAAAAAAAAAGAAAGAAGCTAAACAATTACAAAACTCTCAATTCAATGTTATTCACAATATCAAAGGTAAACATGAGTTTTCCATACACAATTGGTCTATATATAATAGACACACTGTCCAATAATGAAACAGAAAAATATAGAAGCCAAATCCTAAAATAACTAAAAGTTCTAAACAAATCTCAATGCTGATAAAATTCTAAAAAAAGTTTAAATTCCGAAAGAGATTCCTATTCTCTAATTTGTTGTTCATCCATTTCCTTCTCATTCTCCATCTGATGGGTTAAATCTTGTGCACCAATTTAGTTTTGGACAAGTGCACTGATCCACTGCAAGATGATACCCATACTAGTTCTTTTCACATACCTTCGGGAATCCATTTGAAAAGTTTTTTCATGCATGTCTTGTGAAGTATTTCAAGAGAGAGGGAAAAATTGATTATTGAGTTTGACCTGCTATGTAACTGCTTAGGTGTAAAAATTGCTCCCTTTTGGGTAAAACTTCTTTAGAATAAACTGTAGTCCTTTTCATAAAGTTTTTTTACCTTTAGAATAAATTATAGTCCCTTTCATAAAGCTTTTACCTTTTTATAGAACATCATAAAATGGCAAGTACAAACATGTTTTAATATTTGAGATGTTTCCTTCGTTTTCAAACCAATATTCTCTTGTCTTTTGGAAGGAATGGGAAATCGAAAATGACTTTTGTTAAAATTTCTTGATTTGTGTTGACCCAGCTCTTTTTTTTGTTTATTCCCGTGTATCCAAATTTTTCGGTAGATATACTGGAATTTCGTTCATTTTTTGATGTTTTGCATCAAATGCTGCAAGGGGAAAACGTTTTCTTTTACTTGAAAAAGTGCAATGAGATTTTGTTCATTGTCTATGAACCAAATGATCCTATTGCTAAACAAATTGTCTCCATAAGGAGCATTTACTGGAATGCCAAAATTTGCAGACAATAAATATCCACCTTAAAAGCCAAATCCAAATCAAGATCTGCTATTTTTGGATCTTGCTAGTTGAAACATCTCATTCCTTGTCATGCGTGATATTAAGGTGCTTCAGAGTATGTTCATGCACAACATGAAGGAATTTTTATTTTTGGAAAAGGTTAGTTGCATAAAAAGAAATTATTCTGTATATAAAAAAGAGCATAGCAATATAAAAGATTTATAGTCCAAAAATTGAAGTTTAGCTACAGTCAAACCCCACATGTGGAATGACTCAAATCTGCAATATTCTGCAACCTTATGCTAATTGGCAATGGTGTTGTTTCCTAAGATATTTTCCTAGGAAGCTCTCTTTAAGGACAATATTAATGTCCTATGTATCAATATATGCACTCTAGCTTAGCCCTACTTGTTTCCTAAGATATTTTCCTGTTCTTTTTTTTAATTGCTATTATTGTTTAAGCATGCTAGATGTGAAGGTTAGATTGCAACAAATTTGTCATTACATATTTGCATTATTGAAGCAGACAGACATGATTTGGTTTTGTGTCCTTCTAAAACATCCACAACAGTGAAGCATCGCTTTTGTTTCATTTGATGAAAAATCAAATGTTAGAATACTTATTGCATATTTTGGCCTTTATTATTGTGTTTTACGAGTGTTTGGGAATCTCTAACGCTGTATCTGAAACCACTGGATAACATTGGACTGTCCAATGGTAGAGTAAAAATGTTTCTGAAGCTCCAGGAGTGTCCCAGAGTGTTCCCCCACCAAAGGCTCCCGGCTTCAGTTGCCCAGTTTGCATGGGCCCATTTGTTGAAGAAACATCAACCAAGTGCGGTCACATTTTCTGTAAAATGTGCATTTATGCGGCAATAGCAGCTCAAAACAAATGCCCAACCTGTAGGCGAAAAATTAAAGTGAAAGACACCTTCAGGATCTACCTTCCCTCCAGTGACTAAAGGAGGCTCATATCCTTTGGTGCCAAATTTTGTGAGTTTACTCTCTCTCTCTCTCTTATATATTTGGAAGTAGATCTTGATTATGCCATTTCACTCCAACAACTGAGATATGCCTTTTTCCCCCAATGTTATGTGTTATGTTTCACTCCAGGCTAATTATTTTGGAAATGAGGAGTTGATTTCTTGTTTTATCCCCTTCCATTCTTTTGGTTTTTTTTCGTGCCTCATTGGTAGTTTCTTTTTTTCGCAGGTGGTATGGGCCTTTATTCTTAGGATGCTATTGGTGGGAAGTAAACTACTAACATTTTGGCTTCACATTGGGGAAAGAAAAAAGGGTTGGGCATGAAGAAGTAACTAGACTTTTTGACCCATTTGTCTGGTTTTGGTTGTGATATCATGTTTATTGGGATAGAGATTTCAGCATAGACTATCGTCTTTTTCTTTTTCTTTTTTTTTTTTGTAATTTCAATTGGTCTAGACAAGTTGGCTTTCGAGTCCCTGCATCCACAGTTTTTGAGGCTGTAGTTGCTTTTGTTAGCAAAGGCTTCTTCTAATCAAACCTCTTAAATTAGCTAACAAATACATCTTTAACTTGTGATGTTCTTCATTTCAACTGAAATTTGTTTGTTAAACATGACTTTGTCCTGCTATGGTAATGAATTGACTGCATTATGAAATAGGAGGGTTATGGTTCTGAAGGGGGCTTTTAAAAGCCAAGTTCATGAAGTGTTGGTTTTACGTTGAATTTAAATTTCATGAATACTGTGCCAGTGCTATCAGTTGAATATATAGTCTGACAGGGTTCTGAAGCTGGGCATTCTCATAAAACAAAATTTGTAGGGAGGTCAGTTTGCGTTGAACTGGATTTTTTTAACCTAGGTTGCACTAGATTTGCATACAAGATAGGGGCAGCCCTAACCTTTTTGGGGTTTAAGATGGACACCTTTATTTTGGGTGTTGAGTAATTTGAGCTGTTCCGATCTAGCCGGTTGGGCTGGTTGACCAAATCCAAAGCAAGAATGCCTAAAGATATAATGAGATTTTTTTGAGGAAGGTTTGAGAGGGGGAGGGTCAGAGGACGGAAGAGTGATGGAAGAGATATGAGAAAGAGGTGGAAAAAAATGTGGGGAGGGGTCCTCTAATAGGTTTAGGGACTTGTGGTAGAAATTGTGTGCGCCGGGAGCATAATAAGTTTGATTTATATACATATAGACAGGTTGATAGAATGGGTCTTTGAATTTTGGACTTGAGCTGTAGCCCTTTATTTGATTGAGATTTAAGAATAATTTTGTTTTTTCGGCCTAGTAGAAGGGTTGTAGTCCTAATGGTCGCTTTGACTGCTCATGTTCAGGGTTGGCTTGATATTTGGATGCCATTTGCAGGAGTCTTCCACAATGAACTTTTCGACATTTGCTTTAATTCTTTGGAAAATATAATGTCTGTTGATTCCTTCAGCCCCTCAAAAGGGTAGCTAGTGTTTTTCATGACTCGGTATATATTTATTGTAGTGTAATTTATGAAATGTTTAAAAACCTCCTAAACCCTAATCAGTTTGGACAATTGTTTGTCAGGGCACAAAGTTAGGTGCTTCATTGTGATCATAGAAAAGGAAACTATAGTCCAGTTTAGTAGAATCTTTGCATTTCACTAAGCCTCCGTTTGGGAAGTGGGTTGGCTTTTTGGCTTTTTGGCTTTTTTGGCTATTTTAGCCTGGGCTAAAAAGCTTGGTTTGGGAAGGGCTTTTTGGCTTTTTGGCTTTTTGGCTTTTTTTTGTGAGAGAAGAGTGTAATGATTATGGGTTGGATGTGATGTTTTGTTTGTTGTGGCTAAAATAGCCTGTTTTGTCTTTTGTGGCTATTTTAGCCCCAACCCACTTGCCAAACACCACCTTGTCTAAAGTTGAGTCCATTACCTATGATGTAAGATGTATCAAAAAAATCATCAAACTTGTTCTTTTTTAATACATTTATTAAACAACTTGAAAGTGCTCAAAAGCACATTAGAAACATCAAAAATACTCTTTTTCTTGGTTCTTTCAGATCAACTAGATCCCTGGAGTCGGCCAATTTATCAGATTAATGGTCGATTACTTAGGGTTATTTTGGAAAGTTGGTTTTTAGTCACTTTTTTTGGTTTGTAGCAAAAGTCAAAAGTTGGCTTTTTTGTCTTTTTTTTTTTAGCCAACGGTGAAATTATAATTTTATCATCGTGGGTCAAAATGTGTTACATAGGTGAAGTTGTAAATATTTTAAATAAATAGGGGTAGTTTGGTCATTTTATTATTATTTGACATCATAAACAAATATTAATCAAAAAAGTCAAAAATTATTTTTTACCAACTTCTTAAATCATTTGTCTAAAGAAGTCAAAAACAGTTAAAAGTCAAAAAATCACTTTTTACCATCTTCTCAAAACAACCCTTAATATCAGGACAGAACTGGTGAAATTCAAGTGTGTTTAAATCGTACTTAAGATCCACAAATCGCACGGGGCGATTGAAGTTGCATGTTGAAGATGCTATTTCATTGAAAGTTGCATGATGAAGATGCAATTTCATTTGAAGTTGCATGTTGAAGATGCGATTTCAAGTGAATACAAGTACAGATCGTACCAATCCATAGCATTGCTTCATAATCCAAAGTAGCCCGAAAATAGGTTGCAGCTAGTACAAAGCCCTGCTTACAATGAAGTATAGTATGGAGATAGGTAGTACATAAGACTGGACATGGATTAAATTGATTCAGTTAGTACTTAACTCGGGTTGGAATCAAAATTCCATATTAAATATGTTTTTTTTTTTTTACTTTTCCATCCCGTTTAGTATAAAAGAATTTAAAAAGTAGTAAAAGAAATTTTAAAAAAATCATTAAATATTTAAAATATCAAAATTCAACCGATTTAACTTTTTATTTTTATTTTTATTTTATGAATTATCTTTAATGGACTTTTGTCAATTTTTTTAAATTTATTTTTTACTTTTATGATTCTTTTAGTAAAGTACAACACAAAAATTTTAAAAATTTTGATTTTTTTAAAAAATTTCTTTTTACTAAAAACTAAAAAAATCAATTCCAAACAATCATTAAAATAGCTTGAGTGGTTGTTGAAATAATATTTATTGGGCTCCCTATTAATTTTCTGGGCCGATCTGAACCCATTCTACGCTTCGTTTTGAACAGCCTTCCATCTTTTGGCTCGGGGTACCAAAGGCGGGAGATCAGAAATACATACAGACACAGAGAGAGGAGAGAGAATTCCCAAGAAAACCAAAAAGAAAAGGAGAGAAAGTGCCGAGAAAATGGGAGACGCGATGGAAACACTTCAGTCTTCAGACACCGTAGACCTTGACACCATTCGGAGGTCCTTCATACTCTCTCTCTCTCTATTATGTATGTATATATAAATAAATATGTATATATTTTTTCCATTTTTTTTTCAGTCGAATAAAGGAGCTAAGAGACATCCATGGAAGCTCCAACGACGTCCCAGAATTACGCCCTTCAGATTCAGAGCGATTGCTCAAAGACTGTGCTCTTCAGCTCGAGGCAAACCCCAATTTCTTCTAAAAAGTTGCTTAATTTCATTCGATTTCTACTCTTACTCTGCTATTTAACCTCACTTGCATTCCTTACTTTCACATTTTGGTTCAATTTTTTTTAAAAAAAATTATAATACAGAGCAAAATTAATCAAGTTCTATCAGAGTTCTCAGATATTGGGTCTTTAGCTTCTGAAGATTTAGGTAAACCTTTCACATTCTGTGTGTGTCCGCGCGCGTGTAGTTACATGTGATTTAAATTGGGTAATTGATTTTTTCACTGTAGATGCATATTTGGGAAAAGTGAAAGAGGAACTCAACTCTGTGGAGTCTGAAAATGTTAGAATTTCAAATGAAATTGAGGATCTTACGAGATCGTACATTAAAGGTGTGAAGATTATAATTTTGTTTTTAAATTTCTCATGTAAGTGCTTGAATGCATATGTGGTGTTTGTGTATTTGCAGATTCTAGTCAGCTGGAGATCGAGCTTGAAGGGTTGAATTGTTCCTTAGACTGCATTGCTTCGCTGGTGAGTTAACTCTTAGGAGTTGTGTTAAATGTACCACCAAAAAAATTTAAACAAATAAATAATTTTAGGGAGTTGTTTTCTGAATTCTATGTTCAGGTTACTCTTTGTCAATAGAATATATCATGTGCATAACCAATTTAAAGTAAATGATGTAATGATGGTTAACTTCTAACATATGAAAAAGTACAGCAAAAATTATATATAAAAATAAAAATCAAGCTATAGGAGTGTGCATCATACACATGATATTTTGGAGTTGTAAGTTCTACAATTCGCACTTCAAATTGCAATCACTTTGTTTGGTTCTGGTTTTCAAAAAACAGTTTTCAGAAAATTTTACTTTTTTATTTTTCATATTTTAATATTTTCAATGATTTTTTTTTTAATATTTTAAGCAATTTTTTAAAAAATTTTAGACACAAGTAACATAAGTACACTTAAAAGGTATAATATTTGTGAAAATAATCTTTAAAAAATACACTAAATACCAAAAAATACAAAAAAAAATTACAAAAATTTAGTACATTTTTCATATTTTTGTGTATTTATTAATTTTTTAAAATATTTTTTCACAAATATTTTATTATTTAAATACATTTAAGTAAGGTGCATCTAAAAAAGTAAAAAAAATTGCTTAAAATTTTAAAAATATTCACTAAAAACAAAAAATACGAAAAATAAAAAACTCAATTTTTAAAAAACTGTATTCAGAAAACTGAAACCAAACACACTGAATGTGATCTCCTGCTAACTTTTTTTTCGCCACTTATCTATATTTTATTTGCTACCTATATTCTCAATAGTCCAGAGCTTTTCAGTCTATTTACATTTTTGTTTTGTATCTTGGCATCTTATTCTTTGTATGCGTGTCATATTTTAGGGTACTGAGAAAGGAAAAGCTGATGGATATGTTGATTGCTCTTCAGATGGAGAAGTGGCGTTGTTAAATGCAAAGGCAGATTACAAGTTTAAGGTTTCATTTTTCATCCTTATGTTTAATATTATTTGCTTCCATGATGATGGATTAACTTAGCAAACATGGGAAGTCTGCATGTAAACCACTTTCTTAGGAAAATGTGACATATCAATACAAGATTCTCTAAACTTTAATATAATCATATTATGTAATGCTATCAAAATAATGGGTACGCTTTATTTTAGTTATTAAGTGATCTTTCTGTGGTGGCCTTATATATTGGTGTAGTTCTAAGCCATATGTTTTATGTTAGTTTCTACCATAACTGTATTTGTGATGTCGCATCTTTGACCTTTTCTGGTGCCTTGAAGAAAGTAATCATTATATGATATTATTGTTGTTATACATTGCAGATGTTGGAACTTAGCCACCAGATTGAGGAGCATGAAATAACTCTGAGTTCGTTGCAAAATCTTGATGGCATTTTGAAGAGGTAATTTGTCTATAGATTTTGCAGGTTCTCCATTCTCTGTCATGTTCCAATTATTTTATGTGTGTTTTAATTTATGTATTTTGTTATGTTCATAGGTTCGAGGCTATAGAAAAGATTGAAGATGCATTGACAGGTCTTAAAGTAATTGAATATGAAGGAAACTGCATTAGGTTGTCATTAAAGACATGCATTCCAAATTCAGAAAGCTTATTGTTCCAACACAAAATTGAAGATATTGCTGAGTCATTGGAACAGAATCATGAATTGATAATAGAAGTTGTGGAAGGGACATTGGATCTAAAGAGTGTCGAGGTAGAACTTTTTAATTTTGAAATTTGGAATTATATGTGAGCTGGTATCTTCAACACTTACCAAAGGCCTCTAAATCATGGGGAGAACTTTAGGACTTTAACAATTCGGAATCCTCAACTTTTGGAGACTTATTTCATAAGTATAGGTAGTCTCTTTGGTACCTAGGCTGTTGCTTAGGCTACTAGGTGATCCCACACACTTCTATTACCACCAACCATACCTTAATGTACACAACTACTTGGTCTTGGTGAATTGCCAATGCTACTGTGCAACTATAATGTGGGGGCCATGGGGCATTCTTCAACTTAATGAAAACAATGCATCAAATTTTATTCTTCTTTTCCTCCTCAATGATTTGAAAGTGAAAATAAATAAATAAAAGAACAAGTGAATGGAACTTTTAACATTTTGTGCATCGAGATGGGGATTTTATTGTTATGGGTTTCGCATTAGTGTTGTGAAAGTTTCTTTTGTATCAGCTAAGACAAGAAGGGGACAAAGCCACCCTTATGCTGGTAAAAGAGAGAAGAAAATCAGTTTTGCTCTTATCATTTTTATTTAATGTTGTATGTCCTCCCAATATTCTATTTTCCTGACCGTCTAATATTCTTATCTCCTTTCCTCTGAGGCTCAATTATATTGTCTGGAATTGTAAATTTAAGATACCAGATTGCTTCTTGGGATTAAAATTTGACTATAAAATAAATATTCTGAGAATGTGTATTGAATATCTGCTAGCATTTGTGGATTTTGTGGTAGTCTCTTTTTACTTTAGTATGCTTTTATTTCTCTATGAGCACATATATTATCAAGTTTTTACATAGATTTCATTTCCATTAAACATATAACTGGGTTACAACAATATTAAAATATGATTTGAACTCAACCAAATATCATTTTGACAACATGGCACATTAATTAATCAGGGAACACTATTTGCAGGCTGGTTTAGGGTGTCATAATTCTTCCATAGATTTTGTAGTCATTTAAATCTTTTATTCATAAGTTTTTTAAATGCAAAAAAACATGAGTTGTATTTAGAATAATGAAGAGCTGAGTAGGATGCCTATTGTGCTTTAAAGCTTACACTTGAGACAATTAGACGATTTAAAGTAGTAAACATATCTCATATGGTTTGTCTTAATTTTTTTTTTTCACATTGTTCACTTCACTTACTTTGCCCCCCCAATATTTATTTATCTATTAGGAATTCTTCAGCTATCTACCTATGATGTGTCTCTTTATGGTGATTTGTGTGTCATCATTAGCTTAAGATCAGTTTTTTTATTTTTATTTTTTATTTATTTATTTATTTATTTTTGTTTCTTTCTATATATTCTGAGTTGTTTTTAACGTTGTTTGTGATGTTTCCAGATTTTTCCAAATGATGTATGCATAGGTGAATTAATTGATGCTGCAAAATCTTTCAGGTCTGTGTAGATCATGGATGTCTCTCTTTATATGTCGTTTTTGTGTTTTCTGGTACAGCTGTGCAGATAATTTCTTTTCATATTGTTTATTCATTTTTGCAAAATAACTCAAGGTGTTAATATTTCAGATTTGTTAGTTATCTCAATTTCTCTAACAACTTTTAGAATGTCTTAATCACCTACCAACTTTATTCTTTTTTGTCTGATTGATGGAAGCTATTTGCTTCTCTCTTTCTCTCTCTCTCTCAGGAGAAATATTTGCTCAAATTTCTCCTTGTATCTTTTCTTGCTGGTAATGAAATTTAATTTAGAATTTATATACATCGAGATATGTAAATTTGAATTCTTTGATGTGTAGGCATCTAAATGATATCAATCCCTATATGCTTCAAGGGGTTATGGCCTGATATGTAGTTATGCTTTATTGTGTTTGTTTCCTAGATACACAAATAATTTGTTTTGTTTCCAGGCAGTTGTTTCCAGATACGTCAATGCTGGAGACTAGGTCTTCGTTGGAGTGGTTTATAAGACGTGTGCAAGATAGAATTGTTCTATGCACACTAAGGCGATTGTTGGTGAATTTTGCAAATAAATCAAGGTGAGACTTATATTTATGGTTCATGACTACTAGTTGGAGTTCTGAAATTTCATAACAAATATTTATTTGACATAATTTTGCCAATTTAAACTTCTGGTGGTGATTATTCTGTTTTTCTTGAAAATTTCCCTGTTTTAATTTGAGTGTTCAAATATTTCCGTTGTGATAGCAAGGCCCCCCCGAAAAATTATTTAACTAAGAATATTTAGGTCATATCCCCAGTCCATGTATAGACATTACTCTGTGGAATTGAAGAAAGAAAAACCACTCCTTATCAACTATCAAAACTAGGTGGCCAGCATATGTTTGCAGACTGTAAAATCTACACATGAAAGCTCAGGTGGTGGAAAGTGAATTTCCCTGGGGAGGGGGAGGTTTGATTCGGACAACATTAATTTTAGGTCTTATCTTAATCTCTTTCTTTCAACTTAATTATTTTGTCTGACACTGGACGTTCTTCATTTAGAAATCTATTTGAGTGTTCGAATACCCAACATTTTTCATCCCACGAACAAGTTCACATTTTGTTTTTAGGTCCCTTATCTATATTTTGGAATACAGTACCTTCTCAAATGCAATCATGTGTTACTTATGCAGGCACTCTTTTGAGTATTTAGATAGGGCTGAGATAATAGTTGCCCATATGGTGGGTGGAGTTGATGCTTCCTTTAAGATGGCTCAAGGTTGGCCAGTGTCAAATCATGCATTAAAGCTGATATCACTCAAGCGCTCCAGTCAATATTCAAAGGAAATTTCACTGAGCTTTCTCGGCAAGGTTGAGGTGAGCTGTATTGTCCATTTTGATCTTGCTTTAAACAAATAAAATCATTCACTTGGCTTCAAAAATGATCTTTCAAAAGGCACCTCTTAATTTGGGTCATCCTGCCCAAGTTGGTAAACATAAATATGCATTACTCTCCAAGAAATTTCAGCAATATATATTATTTTAGTTCATTTTTTCACGGTTTTCTTTGTCTGGTTTGTTTGGCCTGGCCACATGGCAGTACTCAACTATGCATTCAAACACAAGTTCATTTCCTGTCCTACTATATTTACAAATGTGTTGTATCCTGAATGTGTAAATAAGCAAGGTTTCTGGAATGGAAATATAATTCACTTTCTAATAGATACCTAAGGCTTTTTAAAATACTGTTGGAAAGTAAAGAACCACTGCCTAGGTGTTCATAAGGTTGATTGCCCTGTGTTTCTCCATGGATCTTGGTTGGATGGAGATCAGTAAGAACTTGGATTTGTCTAAAAAATACTAATTTACTGATCGTACGATGCTACCAAATCTTAAAATAATGCTTTCCTTGCCCTTTAATTTATTATTACATATTAAATTTTTAGCTTATGGTTCCAAATGAATTGTCAATTAGCTCATGCGAATGTATAAAGAGAGTTCCGTGTTTGGTTCTTCACATAGATTGTTTTCAGCTGTATGAATTTCCTCAACTTCAATAGTTTTCTTACTAAAGATTGTCTGTTATCAGTTGTATGAATGACCACAACTTTTATGTTTTACTAGTTGGAGTGGAGTGTTAATGACTGATTTACAGATGTTGGTCCTCTATGGTGTATCTAAGTTTGCTAATTGTTCTACCATTATTTATTTCCATTAGAGTTCAAACATGAGATGCATGGTTAGTTCAATAAAGATTTGTGTCCTTAAATGGGTACTTGATATTCTAATACATGTGCTCCAAAATATTGATACTATATTTTTCATTGAGAGTATTTTATTTATATATTTTTTCTATTTTGTTACTAGGAAGTGGCAAATTCGTTGGATGCACATATGCGACAAAACATTTTAAGCTTTGTGGATGCTATTGAAGAAATGCTCATGCAAAGAATGAACACAGAATTGCAATCTGACATTAGTTCTGAGAATTGACTGCTTTTAAGCTCCAGAAGTGATGGTGTTTGATCATTTGGTAAGAACTTATCGTTCAATGTTCATTAATATATAAAATTCATTGTATTCTATATGAACTTTGTTGCTGATGTTCCTAAACTTATTGGTACAATACTTGCAACAATACTCTTTGAAGGTCAAACAACCTTTTGTATCAAGTTTTGTACTATTTAATGCATGACATATAGAGAAATTCTGTTTACATGTTTCCTTATCTAGTTTTGTACAGTTTTTGGTTTAAATTATCACTGTTTAACAGAATAACGTGGAGCTATAGTCCAGTTTTATCAGATGTGTTGCAACAAGGAACTTCTTTGGAGAATGACAACGAGAAATGGACAATTAATTCAAACGGACCATGGAAGGCAAACCATCTAGGGCGGGTACTGGTTTTATTATTAATAATCCAATTGGAAGTCAACAAAAACTTCGAAGGAGGATTAATGGTGTCATACTTGCTTGAAGCTTCATTAACATGACAGTTTAAAGTTTTTGTACTTTGTATACTTGATTCCTTAGAGCTTCTATAGTATTAGTCAGCAGATGGTCTTCCAGATAAGTTAAAGTTTGTACTTCCTGTATTGTTTTCTGAGGGTTTGGGGGGGCTGTTGTGCATACTGCACACCCCTCCGGATTTTTGTGATCTTTTCCGCAAGCTATTGGATTTGATTCACAGCACAAAGCCCACTTCGCTCTTATTTTTATGTTTTAGATTCTTGTCTATATGATTCACATAAAAAAATTTAAAAAAAAAAGGAAAAAAAAGGAAAAGAAAAAGATTGACTCAATAATTGTAGGTCAAATAAATGGACAAAATAATGATTTTACAAATACACTATTGATTTTTATTTTTTATTTTAAATAAATATGATAAAATTGTAAGATTGCAATTATCAAATTATGAAGGGAGTGCATATTATAAATATAGTTTTAAAAGTGTGAATAGTAAAAAAAATTCCGTTGTTAGGATGCAACATCACTTGAAGAACCTGTGTACCATACACACCTTAACATATACGGAGCTAATGACAAAATTTCCAAGAGTCCGGATCCTCTCCAGCCAAAGCATCCCTCCGGTCAAGGGCCACGAGGCTTAATGAAGATCTACGGCTCAGATAAAAATAAATAAATAAATAAATTTCGTTTTTCTTTTTTCTTTTCTTCTTCGTTCTTAGTGGCTGTTAACTTAGATTTAGAGCTCGTGAGATCTGAAAAACAAAGCTATGAACCACAAGGTACCGAAAATGAAGATGTATTTTTAACTTTTTTGATCATAAGTTGTACAGTTTCAGATTTGAATTTGTGGGGAAAAAATATTGTTCCTATAGTTGTTTTGGACATTGATTTCAACTAGGTATTGAACCAAAAACTTCTTCTCACTGGTAACTCTCTCTCTTTCTCCCTCAAAACACTTAATTGATTATTCCCCTCAACATTTCAGTTCCATTTTTTTTTTTAAAATTGATATTTTCAATATAGATCTGTGATTAAATCTGTAAAAAAAAATCAGATTTCAAATCTGAACCAATTTCAAATCTGGACCAATTTCTGAGAAATTGAAAACTCTCAACCAATTTCAAATCTGAACCAAAAAACAAAACAAAACAAAACAAAAACACAACATCAAAAATTGAAGAAGAAAAAGGGAGAAAGAAGAGCCATGGAAGCTGAACAAGCTAAAGAAGTGTTCTTCTTCTTGAAGCCCAAAACAAGAAAAAAAGTTAAAAACCTAGATGCATCCTCTGTTCTTCTTCCTTTCATTTCTGTTGATTTGCAGAGAATCTCAATCCTCTGTTTTTTTTTTTTGGGTCAATGATTTGGGTCGATGACTGTAATGAGGAGAGAGAGAGAGAGAGAGAGTTATCAGTGAGAGAGAGAAGAAGAAAAGAAAAAAGAAAAACGAAATTCATTTTTTTTTTTTTTTATCTGAGTCGTAAATCTTCATTAAGCCACGTGGCCAAATCGTGGCCCTTGACCGGGGGACCAGATGGATGCTTTGGCTGGAGAGGAACCGGACTCAATTTCCACACTTATCAAGTTCTCTGAAAAACTTGGTAGCAAAGAAACACAAGCAACATGTTCAATTGTTTGGGTGTGTAACCTCTTCATGCACAATTTACAAAATCTCACAAATTTTTACGAATTTACATAAATAATTCATAAAAATACGTAAATTCAACATAAATTTGCATAATTTTATTTATAAAAATTTTAAAATTTACAAAATCATATAAATTTTCACTAAACTTATCTAAATTATCTCACAAAAATAGATAACTTAAACCACAAAATTATATAATAGGAGTGCATGCATATGATATGCAATGTACACCTAAGAATTATCAATGAATAGGGTTTCAAAAGAAAATTAAAGAGGGCATACTATAATCATAGAAAAAAATGATATAATTTTATACTTTATAAATCATAATTAAAATAAATAAAAAAATTATAACTAAATACAAATGAAATATAATAAAAAATTCTTAAAATAATATCATAATTAAAGAAAAAAATTAATCATAACTAAAAAATAAAATATCAAAATTAGGAATGCATATAATAGAATTGATCCAAATGAATCTTTTAAATAGCATCCGTACACAAGAACAGACAAACAAAGAAAGAACTTGCCTAAGAGATACAGTGAGCTTAGTACACAAGTTGATTGAAACATTGCCTATAAACATTGTTAAATGCCAAACTTCTTTGCAGAAAATTTATTAATTAAGGCATTGTAATAGGAGGATCTATTATCTGCATACTAATTTTTCAAAACAATAGTTTTCAAGAACAATAACAAGCGCATTCACCGCCAATATATAAGTAAATTGCATTATAAGAAACTATCTAAAATAACAAACTCCAAATTGAGCTATTAGAGATTTTTAATAATCAAATTGTCTTCTGACAATTAAGGTGGCAGTAACAATTGCCAAACCGAATGATTAAGGTGGCATAACAGTTACTCAATATTAAAATCAAGCAATTAACACGGTAATAACAGTTACGAAAACTCAATTGTCTGACAGTAACAATTACCAAACCGAGCGATGTGACACTAACAGTCACTCAATTTCAAAATCGAGCAAATAACGTGACAGTAACAGTTACCAGAACTCAAAATCAAACGATTAAGGCGGCAGTAACATTTACAAACCCCAAAATTGACTCGAATAAGGTGGCAATAACAGTTATAAAACTTATAATCTACTCGATTCAGGTGGCAATAACAGTTAAATAACTATATTACCTAAAATATACATTTTGTTAAACAGAGAAATCACGGTCGCATAACGCTGGATTGTGGTGACAGCAGCAGCATCTGGCAGTTGATCAAATTGGATAATCCAAGGCAGAGATCTCATTAATCTAAGAGCATCAGCCAGCGCATTGAACACCAATTTGCAATCTTGTGATAACAATTTCCCCAAATCAGTTGGATTTGTTACTGCTACAGCAGGAGGATTGTTAGGTTTTCTTGAAGTTGTGGAATGGAACAAGCATGGGTTTAGTTTGAGGGAGAGAATATGAGTAGTAGCAAATCTCTGCATCTTCAACAGGGAAGTGAAGTGAGCCGCCATGGAGGCAGCGAATAGAGAAGAAGAAGATTATGAGATAGATTGCTAGGGTTTTCTGTGAAAGAAGATATATATAGATGGGTCATGCTACATCCCCTAAAAAACATCCCCCTAATCCCCCTAATTTCCATATTAAGTAAAGAAAAAAAAAAAAAGGAAACAGTTGCCAGAAATGGAAATTAGGGGGATTAGGGGTGAGGATTTTAGGGCTACAAATCATTTCCCTATATAGATATACAAGGAAAGAGCAAGTCTATCATGAGGTCGAGATCACCACACTTGTCACGAGCTCGCTTTGCTTTTAATGAGTTCCTTCATGAGAGGAGTCTAATTTTATTTATATATTAAAATATTAATATAATACCTGTATAATGAGTAATGCTAAAGAAAGTTTTATTAAATTTTTTATTAAATGTGTCATATAAATGTATATTTTATATTTATGTGAGATATTTAATAAAAAATTTAATAAAATTTTTAAAATCATAATATTATTTGTGTGTAATTTAAATAAAAAAAAATTAATATCAATATATTTTTCAAAAGGTAAAAGTCTTCGTAGTAGACATGTGACATATGCAAAATTGGAGAATTTATAATATTGAATGAAATTAATATAATTTATTTTATTTTATTTTATTTTAATATTTGTTTGCAAAATGTTTTATTTGCAATTGCACCAAGGGCCCAGACAACATTGGGCCGCTCTTCATCCAAATCCAATAATAGCGATGAAACAAAATCTAATTAAAAGAAGATTAATTAGGGAAAATGAAAAAATTAGGAACTATAGAAAAAATTAGTGGGGCTATTTGAAAAAAATTATTTAAAACTATAGGAAAAAAAAAGTAAAATTAGGATTATTGGGATTAAAGGGAAAAATGAGGATTCATGTTTGGGGGAAAAATTATACTAGTTTTTTTTTTTTTTTTCATACATAAAATCTTAAATGATGAACTTGTGTCAAAATTCTAAAAAGAGTACGATCAAACTTTGCTGGGCTAATTAAAAATAATTTTAGAACTATATTTTTCAAAACTTAATTGCCCATATGCCCTATGGTGCGACTCCGCTCTTGATTAGGTTGATCTTTTATAATTTTAAGTAATGTGGGATGGAAGTTGTTGTGAAATGAGAGTTATATTTTCGTTATCAATTTTGCCTCACAGGTAAGTTTCACAAATTTTGGAGGCAAACATATGTGTTGGATTTATTTTGTATTCACATCTCACAAGAAGAGAATTTTAGGGACCTGTAAGACCCATTACAAGGCCATCACAAATTTCGTTTTAACGATTTGAACCGTTCAAAACTTCTTAAACTGTTCATACCAATAATGGGCTTTACGGGCTCTTCAAATTCTCTTATATTAAGATGTGAATATGAGAGAAATCCAATCCAAAATGAAATTTTGTAGTATCAACTAAACAACTCAAAAACTATTTCAAATTTCAAACCCAAAAACTATTTGAATTTTAAATTTTAAATTCAATTATACTTTTCAAAATTTTAGTTTTGCTGGAAAGAAGCGATTTAAGTACATAGGATTGTTTTAAATATGATTTATAAATTGATATTTTTTTTGTTTATTACGAAAAAAAATGTACAAAAAAATTAAAAAAATAATATGACCTAAATAAATTAATAAATTAATTTTTTTGGGTATACAGAAGAGGGCATAATAACATCCACAATGAATTAATATTGAGGGGAAAAACATAGGTTGCATCAAGACGCGCCATTAAATTAATAAGATTCCAAACAACACACCCCCCAAAAAAATATTACAAGTTGGCAAGGAGTCCGGATCCTCTGCAGCCAAAAGTCCCTCCTGTCCTCTGGTCAAGGACCACGATTTGACCACGTGGCCCTTTGAAGATCTACGGCTCAGATAAAAAAAAAAAAATTGAATTTCGTTTCTCTGCAAATCTTGCCCATTAACAAACTCTTCCTAGCCCTAACGTCAAGTTTTCGCCTCACTCAACCAGCCTATCCGTCATTAGACACCCAAGACGAAGGGGAACAGATATTTTGGAAGAAGAAAAAGAAGAAAAATCAAGATGATGAAGATTTGTAGATCCGGATCTGCAGAGGAATTTATTTTTTTTTTTTTATTGATGAAGATAATGATGTTGAAGATGATGAAGATTTGATGCGTTTTGATGCAGATTTTAAAATTTTGCGTTTTGATGATCTTTAAATATATATTGATGATCTTCAAAGATATATATTGATGATCTTCAAAGATCTGATGCGTTTTGAAGATATATATTGATGGCGAAAAAATATATATTGATGATCTTCAAATATTTTTGAACACAGAAATCTGCATCAAAACTACATGATCTTCAAGAAAAAAAATTTATGCAGATTTGAAATCTGATTTTTTTTTACAGATTTACTCACAGATCTGTATTGAAAATATAAATTTAAAAAAAAAAACGGAACTGAAATGTTGAGGGAAATAATCAATTAAGTGTTTTGAGGGAGAGAGAGAGAGAGTTATCAGTGAGAAGAAGAAGAAGTTTTCGGTGAAAAACGAAATTTATTATTTTTTTTTATCTGAGCCGTAGATCTTCAAAGGGCCACGTGGCCAAATCGTGGCCCTTGACCGGAGGACCAGAGGGATGCTTTGGCTGGAGAGGATCCGGACTCGTTGGCAAGATAGCAACAACAATCCAGAAATGACAGCACGCAAACATTTGAAAGCTTCCAAATAATGACTTTGACTTACTTTTAAAAACAATCAATTCAGTTAAGAGAAATGTTTCAGACCTTTAATTCAAGAGTATAAGTTTTAATGTTGGTATGGATCTCACATGATGGGATGTTTTACTTTAATTACTCTCATTTTTGTTTTTATTTTTATTTTTTTGATTTTTCAACTCATTAGAACTGATTTAGTGATGCAAATTTAGAGGTCCTAATCACTGTTGTTCAGTTAAATTAAACATTTTCATTGTCATTCAAATTACCTACAAAAGTTTTAGCATTAAAAAAATTTAATAATATCCATATAATTATTGCCTTTTAAAGGTTGAATTTCTTTCATATATACATCTTAATATGAGAAATTTAAAAGGCACGTAAAACTTAACTCGAGTCTCGTTTTATTAATTTAAATTATTTATTTTATTATTTATAAAAAATAATTTTTAATTTAATCGAATACAAAGAAAATGAAACACTAAGATATACAAGCACTTATGGAATTATCGAAAAGTTGGAGAATCATCATCATAACATTATTCAAGAAAAGAAAAGGTAACGACCATCAAATATAGTTCAAAGAACATCACACAGCATGTACTATATTTAAGGGGAAGGCGACAAATCATTTGTTGAGAGTGCACATACACCAATGGACCAACTCCGCCACTCATCATCACAACATTATTCATAATGACATTACTAATAGAAGGAAAGCCAGTACACACAATACAATGGGAAAAGCTAGGGATCATGAAAATTTTGTCATGAAAATGATCATGAAAAATTTATGATCCTTAGATTATCTTGATTAGTGCGTGGTGCTTTATTCTAAGTGTAATCTAAGGGTCACAAAACTTTCATGATTATTTTCATGACAAAATTTTCATGATACCTAGCATTGCTGCAATACAATAAGTATAGGAGTCACAAAAATTATGCCAAAATTATGACCGATTGATCAGCTAATTGATCAATAAGTCACAACTTCAAAATTATTTATAATGTTATTTTTCCTTTTAGTACTTAAGCTTCATCTCAAAGTCCCTAGCCAGCTCACACATTGACTCATAAGAAGATCCATTCTCAATCAAAGCTCTCTCACCACTACACTGAAGTTCTTTGACTCTAGTCCTCATTGCTTTCCCTTCTCTGCCCTCAATCACCATTCTCACAAACTTTGCTATCTCTTCTCTCTCCACCACTTCACTCAATTGCACCACCCTCACACCCACTTCAAGCTCTTCCACCACCATTGCAGCATTCATTTTTTGCTCTGCATACAATGGCCACATGATCATTGGCACCCCACTCAAAATGCTCTCTAAGCTGGAATTCCAACCACCGTGCGATAAAAACCCTCCAACCGATCGATGGCCCAGGATTTCTTCCTGTGGGGCCCACGTCGGGACCACGAGCCCCAATTTATGAGTCCTGGAGAGGAATCCATCAGGTAAGTAATTTGCTACATCATCACAATCGTTGAGATCGTGCGGTCCACCCTTCTCCATGGGAGGGCGTAGCACCCAAATAAATCTCTGTTGGCTCAGCTCCAACCCCCAAGCCAGCTCGGTTATTTGCTTAGCTGACACCGTTCCTGCACTCCCAAACGAAACATACAACACCGACTGACAAGGTTGCAAATCCAACCAGTCCAACAACTCAGACCTCGACCCGGATGATCCGACCCGTTTTACCAACGGCCCGATTGGGTAAATCGGAGCCTTAAGAACCTGTTTTAAGATTCCATTCTCTCTAAATGCTTTAAGGGTTGGCCGCTCCAGATCTTCCCACGTGTTAACCAAAACACCATCAAACGACAAGTATCCTTTGCACGTACGTAGGAACTCAAAGTACTGCTGACTCCTCCTATCCAACATCGGGTCAACTAAGTCTTCGACCCGAACCGGATTACAACCCGGGATTTTCACGGGTTCTTGAAGGTCAACGTACTCACCCTCCACTTCCTCATCTAATGTCGGAACAAAAACGCAAAAAGCAAACACCCAAGCTGAAGTTGTGATGAATACATACTTGGACATGTCAAACTCATCGGCAATCTTCATGGCATCTGTTCCAAAAATGTCGACCACGAGAGTGGTCGGACGAGGATCCATGCCCGATATGGCTTGTCGGAGGATCGGGAGGGACTCACGCATGGTGACACCGACACGTTCCACGAATGGCGCATTCGGGTTGACTAGACCCGAGATGTCTACATGCAGTTCAAATATGTCGACGAGATCCAAAGTGGTGGTGGTGGTGGCTGTTTTGGGTTTTGGTGGTGGTGCGGTGGTGGTGGTGACAGAGAAGACTGTGACGTGGAAACCGTGGTTGGCGACGAGGCGCTTGCGGAGCTCGAGGACTGGGATGAGGTGGCCGATTCCGGGACTAGAGAGGAGTGCGACGTGAGGCTTTGAGTTTGAGCTATCCATGGATTTGAGGGAAGACAAAGAATGAAGAGAGAAAAAGCATAAGATGTGAAGGCACTGAAGAAGAGGGGAAGAGGTGTTAATGTTAATATGATTCTTTTCAAAATGGGCAAATTGTAAATACTACTCTTCAACTTCTATTAACATTTTTATTTTTAATTATAAAAGTCAACTCATATACTTTAAATCAAATTTCAATATCATTCATCTATTCATCTATCGTTAAGCCTTGGTGCGACTTTCTTGCTAAGTTATATAATAACAAAAGACAAAAAAATTAAAAAAAATTAAAAAAAAAAAGAGACTATAAAATCATAAAAAGGCAAAAACAATTACAAAAATATCAAACTACCCCATATACAAATACAAAGTCAAGAAAGGATCATTTTATACTAAAGGTAATTTTGTCATTCTAAAGTCAAAAAGTCAAACAAGAATACCAAACAATTAAAAAAATTTCAGGCTAAAAAAGTCAAATAAATCAAAAAATCAACTAAAAAATTTATTGCGAAACGACCCCTAAGTTTAATTAAAATTTTCATAAAAATATGATAGTGCTAATGAGACAATAAAAATATTAAGTTTTATTTTAGAAAGTAAGTTAAAAGTTGATTATTTGACTTTTTTTTTTATATAAAAAAAAAAATGACTTAGACCCCCAGCTGGGGGTGCTGGGGTCGGCTCCTATTGGACAAAAAAACTTTTTTTTTTTTTTTTTTTGATTTTCGGCCAACCCCAGTGCGACATGTCACTGGGGTTGTCAGTGGGGGTCACCCCACTGGGGTCTGTAACATTTCTGGAAAAAAAATGTATAAAAAAATAAAAAGGTGATATAATTTTAAAAAATCAAAAAATTAACTTTTAACTGAATTTTTAAAATATGCCGTATGCTTCAAATAGCAAATTCTGTCAATATCGTTATCAGTAGATGAAGGGAAGAGTGAGATTACAACTGAGATAGAGTGTAAGGAATTTACTATTATAATTGAAAGCAAAAAAATTAAAGTGAAATAGAACGATCTATATAAGAGGAAAGGAACATCTTAAATTGTAAATTGATACCTTAATCACTATGAGGAGAGTAAATAAATTATTTTGTACATTAAATTCAGTCTAATTTTTAAAGCTATTAATTGAAATAAATTAACATAATATTAAAAAATAAAAATAATGTAATTAAAATTACAATAACTTAATTGAGAGGAAAAGAAAAAACAATATATATAATAAGAGAATAATTTAACCACATATATACAACACTATATAAAGAGAAAATACTACTTGGTGTCTCCTTCTTTCGAAGTCATGTAAATTTTTTAATACAAAAAATTACTCATAAACAGTTCCATCTTCGCCATCTAAAAAAATTAAAAAACAGTTTCATCTTTATTGAATTTAAGGATAACTAATGAGTTGGTGGCGCCTCTACGTTGATTTTGCAGGGTTTACTTGTACGGAAAATTATCCAGTATTGTCGAAGCAAAGTTCAATTCTATTTAGAAATTGCCATTTTATATGTATATTTTTAAAGTAAAATGTCTCATAACTCAAATTTTGTGACTCAAAAGTGGTTCAAATGGCCAAAACGACGTCGTTTTGGCCATTTTTATGTTGTTCTGTACTCAAAACGACGTCGTTTTGGCCATTTGAACCACTTTTGAGCCACAAAATTTGAGTTACGTAGCATTGTCGATTTTTAAAATTTTAATATAAAAGTGATGAATCTTATGATTTAGGGTATCTCTCGGATGTGTTCAAGTAACATTGGATAATTTCTTTAAACCTCCCAAATTTCAAAAATATTTGTTACATTTGGAAACGTTTACGACTATAGGTTGTTGGGTCGGTGAGTATCTCAGATGCTCTCTTCTCAACGTATGAAGTGAATACATAAATCCAAAATAGAGCATCTCGTGATTGTCAGATCCATCATGTTACATCAAAGTATCTCTAATTCACTTAGGTGTGTTTGACTGGGGAATAAGAGGGGGATCATTTACTGTATAGCTTGTAATTTGCAAAGTAAATTCAATTTGATATTTTTTTTTTTTTAGTTCACCGGATATGGAGTCTGGCCGGACTCTTCATCTCCCATATGGGGGATTATACTATCCTAAGGGGGTGTGGGACAATTTTTGAGAAATTATTTACTGTTGGGATTAGGTAGTAAAATGATCATTTTGACTCTCTACTATTTAATTATGTATTATATTTAATAAAATTAAATAAAATTTAAATGTCTCAATTTAAAAATAAAATAATTTTATTTAACTTTTTATTGATGTTTTATATATATTTTTTAAAATAATTTTTTATACATATTTTATTGATGTTTTATTTTAAAATTTTATTTATATTTTATTTAATTTCATTAATTAAATGTTAATAGATGTTTTATTTAATTTCATTATTTAATAATTTCAACAATAAATAATTTCATTTATTTAAATTATGTTTTATTTAAACATTTAAACATTTGTACATCAACATGTTTATTAAATTATTTCAACATCTGTACATCAACATGTATATTTATTTAACATCTATTAAATTATGTTTTAATACGTCAACATTTGATTACATCTACATTTGTTAATTGTTAATTACATCAACATTTGTTAATTGTTTAAACATAATCTGTACATCAAAATAATTTCAATGTTAATTGTTTAAATAAAAATTTAAACATTTAACCATTAGTATGTTTAAATTCTTTGTGAGTTAGAGAGTTTGGGCTTTGTTTTTGTCTCTCTTCCTTCTTTACTTGGGGTCTATGGTTTTTGACTCTCCTCAGTGTGTATATATCTATCAACTATCACCTACTCAAACAGCTTACCTAATAACTAATAATGAGAACAAAATATAATTGAGTATCGATTTAAACATAGAAATGAAAATTGTGCAATTTTTGGGCCACTGTTCTTAGAAAAACATGCAAAAGCAACGCAAGGGATGACTATGAATAGTATAAGACTTGCAACTATTACCATTAACATGCACCAACAAATCCATTATTTAATTTTTAAAAAATAAATTTATTTAATTGTGTAAAAAATAAAATAAAATAAATTTTTATTTAATCTAGCTAAAAATAATTAAAAAATTAAAGATATGTTTAATATTGCTATTACTTAGAAAACAATTGAAAAATAGTAAAATAGTACTTTTGTCATTTATCATATCCAGTCCGTCCAACCAAACAATAGATTCACTAAAAAAAGTTATTTCCAGACATTTAATCCCATCAGAAAACAAACACAAGATACATATCCAATCCAACCAAATAGTCCAGGAGATTCACAGTCTCAGGATTCAAGTCCGATAGATTCTAATTCCCTCTTATTCAGTTCGTCCAATCAAACACACCCTTAGAACATGTTTGGGATTATAGTATAAGATTGAGATTGTTAATTTATGAATTCACAATTCTATATTTGATTGTAAATTTTATTAACCAGATTACATATACATCAATCTAATAAAATTGACAAATTTTTAATATTAAAAGAAGTTGAAGAACATAATTTCAAGTATGAAAGGAAAAAAAACTAATCCACTCAGAGGCTCTCAGACTTGTCTCAGATGCTCTCTTCTTAGGGGTGTAAATCTGGCCCGGCCCGGCCCAGCCCGACTCGGCTCATGTTGGGTCTTGCAGGCTCCAGCCAAAAATCGGATCGGGCCATACTGGGCCACGGGTCAAAAAAAATTAAGCCCAGAGGTATTCGGGCCTTGGGTGGGCCGTGAGCCGAGCCAATGGGCTTGGCGGGCTTGATCATTTTTTTTTTATAAATTTTTTCTACCAAAATTTTATTCAGTGTGTTTGGTTTGAGTTTTTTGGATTAAGTTTTTTGAAAATTGAGTTTTTTTGTTTTTAGTGAATATTTTAAAAATTTTAAACATTTTTTTACTTTTTTAGATGCACTGTGACGACCTCGACCTCCAAACTAATACATTATATCATTTTAATGAGTTTAATTGCATGATTATGTGCTTAATTGGGTGATTACATGTTTAATTCTATAATTATCTGTTGACATATGGCATATCTGTTTAAATTGACAACTTAGAGTCGGAAATTGAAAGCCTAAACGACTTCAGAAACCGAAATTGACTAGCCGAATAGGCTAATTAGAATATTTAGAATTTTATGGCAACTTTAATTGAAATTTGATTTAAATCAAAATAATTAGAATAAACTGATTGAATTAGTTAGAATTAAGCCTAATTAATTAATCTTAATCACATTTGATTAGACTAACTTAATCACACCCTATATAAGGCCCTAATTAAGCTTATAGGCTCATTTTTATAACTCTTGGCTGAGAATTGAGAGAGAAGTGAGGAGAGCTCAACATGTTTAGAGAGAAAACAAAGAGCTTGTAGAGAATTGTGGAAGATTGAAGGGTTAGAGCTATAATACACTTGAATTTACACATTAGGTATGAGATTCATCCTAAATTCTTAGAATTGAATCATGTAGAAACTAAGTTCATGGAGTTATAGGATCATTTGGTTGAATTTGAATAGGTTGAGCATGAGTTGTCATGAATATGATGAATTAGAGTTGAATTATACATATGCATGCATAATTTGAGTTAGAATTCATGAAATTCCTACATGCATGGCACATTTACACCTTAATTTGGAGAATCCTTCATATTTTCATGCTTCTCATGTCACTTGATTATGTTTTGAAGAAATGTACACTCAATTTGAGTTAAACTTATTTTATAATTTGAGGTTGAAGTCTTTGGTTGGGAAATTACCATGGTTTTGAATAAATGGGTTCAAATTGGAAGTATTTTCATGTTATATAATGATTCTTCATGTTTTTATACCAAAAACCCAAGATTTGAGGCTTTGAATACCATGTTTGAACTTCAAACACAGTTCTAGAAATTTCAGAATTCGTGCTGTCTGCTAGAGCGAGGGAAGCTCCGCTAGAGCGTGAAAATCGAGCTCCTAGAAGTCTTTTTTTGAAATTTTGCAGGTCGCTCGAGCGACCAAAATGGCACTCGAGTGAGGATCCTTTTTCTCAGTCTTCCGCTCGAGCGACCATCGAGCGGGAATTTCATGTAACCAGTACTTTTGCAGACCACTCGAGCGAAGG